CTGACATCCACAAGACCCCTTGGGACCTCTGTGTCCCTTGTACTAAAGAGGTACCCAGAGGTTCACTGTCCCGATGGGTGCTTTGATGACTTTTGAAAATCACTTTTCTGTTGCACTCATAGACCACTGGTTTCGGAGTCAGCCAGACCTGGCACGAACCCTAGCCCCCCTCTTCTTGGTCCTGGACGAGGACCTTCCTTGGACAAGTCACTTCCTCTCCCTCACCTGTACGGTCGAGCTGTGAGTGACCCAGAGCACGGCAGCTGCACAGGGCTTAGCCCCACGCCCGGTGCAGGGTGAGAGCAGGTCTCTGGGAAGGAGGTGGGACCGGGGTTCTGGGAAGGCTGCTGGGGGTGGGCTCCAGTGAACAGGGGAGCCCACCTGTGGCCTCCCACACATGCATTCGAAGCAGATCCTGTGAGTGGGCTGGGAGCCACCCCACTTTGCGGAAGACATTCAAAGGCTGAAGGGAGGACTGAGTCCCTGAGTGGGTTTTCATATTCCCACTGTCGCCACGGTTTTTCAGCTGCCCCTGGTTTTACTAGAGCCCAGACCTGCCTGCTCTTGGCTGAATGTCCTCTGGCTCCCTCCCCCTTTGCCCCTTGGCACACTGTGAAGCGGTTCACACGACCTTCCATTCCAGCATCAAGGTCCCGAGAAGCCTGACCCCTGTGTTTACAAGATAATGCAGTGCACACGCTGAAAGGAGCCCTGGGCTGGTCCGGCAGAAACCTAGCCAGGCGGGCACATCCCACATTCCTGCCGGCAACTCCCTGCCGGCTGTGACCCCTCCACGCCGTGCGTCCCCTCTCGTGGTGGTCCGCCTCTCGCTGACCAGAGGTCTTGGTGATCTCTGTGGCCCTGGAGAAAGGACACGGGTTCTGAAGTCAGGAGAGGTAGGTGGGCCCCTGCGTTTCCAGTTCTGGGAGCGCGCGCTGTTGCGCTCACTGGCTGACCTCCACCGCGGGAGGCTGAGGCGGAACCTCTGCCCTGGGGGGCACTGGAGGAGGGTTAAACGCAGTGGCCGCTGCCGACTGCCCACCGGGGGTTGGTCACAGAGCACACGTGAACTGCCTCCCCTGATCCTGACAGAGAAAGGCAAGGCTCGCTTTCTGTCTGATGGGGCTTTGTACAAAAGGGATGATGGTCCTTTTCTCTTCTTAATAATGTTCCAAAAGTCACTGAGTCCTGATTGCTAGAGTCAACTAAGTGGCTCTCTCTTTGGAGAGAGTCTTTCCACTCAACTCATTTTGCAAAAGGAGTGAACTGAGGCCCAAGTTCCCACAAAGAGCCTGCGTTGGTCCACAGGCCGGGGGGAAATAAGAGGCCGAGACCTGCTTTGCTCCTTGGACATCACAAAGAGAAGGGACAGAGAAATCAAGAATTTTCCACACCAGAGCTAATTAACTCATTTCTCTTTTGTCTTCTCCTCATTGTTTCTAGAAGCAATTATGTCTCCTACCCTCTCCTACCTCCTGCTCTTGCATAAAACTGTCACAGATTAAATCAAATTGTTCAGCCATTTCATTAGTGAGACTCTGGCTCTCATTCTCTGGGGCATTTTCCACTCTTATCCAATAAAAGTCTCTTTCAGAGAAGTTAACTCCTTCCTGGAGGCTACAGGAAGCCGATGAGCACCACTAAGGGGCTGGTGAGCCCGATGGGTTTTTCTGACCAGTGTGGGATGTGGTGAGCTTGGGCCCCAGGCCTGGCCCCGGCTCTGGCTTGCACATCGACTGCCAGACAGACAGGGAGAAGGAACTTGTAAGAGCAGAAGACCCTAGACGCGTAGGACCTACTGCGCCCTCCTCATCTCTTGACCCTGGGTATGTTTCTTTTCTTGGACAGTCCTTAGCTTTCCCATCTGAGAATTGCAAGTTTTGAGTCTTTTTGGCCCTGTACTAGAGTCCACGGACCCCACCCAAACTAGCACACAGATGTCTGAGGAACCCAAAGCCGTTGGCAGAGAGGTGAAGTCAGAACTCACTGGCATGGGTAACCAAGGCTTTCCCCAGGAGCGTGCAGGGCTGTGGCATAAAGGAAGGGGTAGGATGGGCACGGGAGCCGGGGCCACTACTTGGCAGTGACTCAGAGGAGAGGATAGAGCAGGAGGGAACAGAAGACAGGCCAGGGGGACAGAGCCCGGGGGTGTCTGGAGGGGTGGGGCAGGAGTACCCTGGGCACAGGATTAAAGGAGCAAGACTCTGTCTTTGTTGGTCCTTGATACCAAGTGCCAGGCTACAGGAAAGAGGATGGCACTGTTAGGAGAGTCGGGGGGCAGTGCAGTGTGCTGTGGTGTGGGACACGAGAGACAACGGGGTGGGGGAGGCCTGTGCACACAGTTCAGGGTCATCTCTGCACGATGGGCCTGCTAGGGCCTCGCCGTACAGGACCTGGCAGCTCTCTGCAGCAGGCAAAGGCCTTGACAATGACAGACAAGGGGGCCTGGGGGACAGGGGTGACTGGTGGGCTCTAGGAAGGCACTGGAAACGGGACAGAGATGGAGGGAGGCCTCAATGGGACATCTGCGTCAGCTCCTCTGGGTCAGAGGCTCCTGCCCCAACACACCTAAGTGGGCTGGGACCACAGGGGCCTGCCTCTCACGAGGCGGGCTCAGCGCCCAGCAGAGCAGACCCTGGGGGAGGTGCCTGCTGCACCGCAGGGGAAGAGGCTTCTTGTCGCTCTACCAGGCACGGGTCCCCAAGCACACTTTCAGAGCATTTTCTTGACTCCGTGTGACAGGCTAGGGGCTGGGGACAAAGGAAACTTGGCCCTGTCGCTGGAGCCCGGCCGACACTGTGAAAGCCTGCCAGCCTGCTGGGAAGGCCCTTTCGGAGTCAGCAGTGTCCCCTCGGCTGCATTTGAGGCAGGGCAGGCAGGATGCAGAAAGAAGGGCCCGGCCTCGCGTCAGGAGAGGCTCACCCTCACACCCTGCCCTGTTGTTTGTGGGCGCAGTGACCAGTGCGATCAGGGTAAGATGGAATTCTTAACTGTGAACCTGAGGTCCGTTCCAGCCACACCTTCTACGGTGCAGACTGAGCTTATAGTTTTTGCAAACTCTATAATTATATTAAGAGTGGCACCTTTACATTACTTTGAGTTATAACTGGCAAATGGTTCATATAAATATTTGAAGTATATTCACTTCCCAAACCCCTCGTTTTGGTTGTCCTCGTTCCCTAACACACGGAGCCTCCTGCCTCCCCCTTCCTCCTTTCAGGATGAGGAAGCAGTGCAGCCTTTGAAGGGCCTCAGAGAGCACAGAGTGTCCCACGGTGTGAGGTGTGAGGGCGCGGTGCACGGAGGAAGGCTTTGAGGCCACGTGGGCTGGGACTGGCTGACTTTTGGACCCTTTCAGATGCCTAAGGCCTTGACCCTAAACAGACAGACAGGCAACAAGAGGCTGGGCCACACCCGGCTGGGGGCCCTGGGCAGCAGCTCTCCTCTGTGTCACCAGGAGACGATGCTACAGAGCCCCGGGTGTGACCTCTGGGCTTCAGGCAGCTGGGAGGGCGGCTTTATTCTGCAGTCATCTAAGTCTCCTTCTAAAATCCTGGGGTGAGGCCCGCAATCTGAATGCTCATCCTTAGAAACAACCAGAAAAGGCACTTGAAATGGCAATAACTCACGTGGGTTTTTCTGTTGGGCCATGTTAGGTGTTTCTCGTGGTTTATGCGTTAATTTTGCAGCTACAACCCAATGTCATTTTCTTATTATTCCAAACAACAGGCAGGAAGAGGTCATTAACGTGCCCAAGGTCACCTAGCTTGTGTGTTCCCATACAGAACCTGAATCATTATGGAACAAACCAGAGATCTAGCATCTGTGGTTCAAATCTCAGCCCCGTGGTTACAGGCTGTGTGACCTTAGATAAGTCCCCTACCCTCTCTGAAGGAAACTCCGTTTCCTTCACTGCATTGGGGTTAGGATGCAGGGACTTTACAATAATCAAGGTATACAATGACATCTGTATAAATTTCGCCGTACAGTGCAATGGAATGTTACTCAACCACAGAAAAGAAAGAAATTGTGCCATTTGCCACAACGGGGATGGACCTGGAGGGTATTCAGCTCAGTGAGACAAGTCAGACAGAGGAAGACGACGAGCATATGATTTCACTTATATGTGAAATCTAAAAAATGAAACAAACAAACCAAACCGAAACAAACTCACGGTAGAGAGAATGACCTGGTGGTCGCCAGCTTATTAGGAGGAGGGGCTGTGGTGGGCTGAATAAAAAAGGGGAACGGATTAAGAAGTACAAAAATAGTCACTGAGATGTAAAGCAGAGCATAGCAGATACAGCCAATAATATTATAACTTTGGATGGTGTCAGGGTGATCACCTCGTAAGTTCTATAAATGTCAAATCACTACGCCATACACCTGAAACTAATATAAATATCATATGTCTACTGGCACTGAAAAACAATTTTTAAAAAAGTACCAGCAGATGTAAAATTGTGACGCATGCAGCAAGTTCAAGGTTTTATTGTGGAGTTCTCCTTCTGCACTGTCTGTTAGAGCGCGCTGAGGAACTCAAACAGAAGAGAGAACGGTGAACCAGAAAGCCGCCCGCCCTCCCCATCTGAGTCGGAAAGCAGCGCCCAAGCACAGTGCTGGGAGCCGGGTGCCCGGGAACCCAGGCCCGGCCTCAGGAGTGAGAGGCCCTGCAGGCCACGTGACCTTCCGAGTCTCTCACACAAACACGGCTGGCAGCTTTCTGTCACCCAGCATGCAAGGGGATGGAAACTTTCACCACCAACAGCGTTTGCTAGAACTTCCCTCTCTGTGGTTTTTCTCTGTCATTCCCTTGATAAAAGAACTCGCACTGCGTAAATGCAACCAACACTCATGAATCTCATCTTCACATGAAAACAGCCACCTTTCAAGAGCGAGCCGCCTGAAACATGAGACACGATGTACCGTAAACTGAGCCATTCCCCACCCAGCAGGCTGGGTGCGTGGCTGACTGTCTGTGTGTACCCCTTGTGCCGCAGGCTCCGCGAGACGTCCGCAGCCCGGGGAGCAAGAGAGATGGGCAACAGCGTGCGATCCACTCCCGCACCTCCTGAGAGGACTCTGCCCTGCCCAGATGGTAAGTCTGGCTTCTCTGGTGCGGCGAATAACTCTGCCCTGCGTGAGCTCGGGGCAAAGGTGGGGTGACGGGGATGCTGGCCACCGTGTGGACAGAGCAATGGGTGCTTACAGGGCCCTCATGTTGTGTGTAGTTTACTCTTTCATAATTAAATGTTTAAAAAGATTAGGCAGTGGCACCCTGGACGGATGCCGATTTGCTGGCGTTTTGGGATGGACCTCTGAGAAGGGCTGGTTCAATCCCTTCACTTTATAGACAGGGGAAACTGAGGCCCACAGCGGGAATATAAGCTCTCTGTAGAGTCCCACCCAGAGGGGCCTGATTCTGAAAGCCTCTTGCTTACCATAGAGCCGGCTTTAATGGTTTCATTCATATAATATCATCGTGGGCACATGATGAGTATCACCAAAGCTCTGCTTGGGCCTTTGTGATGTGACTTGATAAAGTTGGATGCTAGACCTAGGAAATCTTCTGGAAAGCAAAGGAATTCTTGTGTTCTGTTGGCAGGATCACAAGGGTCAGGTGTTCTCGGGGGAGGGCACAATGTCCCAGGTTAATCGGTGATGACAAAAGTCAGCCTTTCCCAGCGCTGCCAGGGGGAGCCAGACTCCTGAAGCCACAGTCCTTTAGGGGCTGGCCAGAGAGCTGGGAGAGGACCCCGGCAAGCAGGAAAGGATGGCCGAGAGTAAGATCCATCAGGCTCAGGTTCACGGTGCTGGTTGCCTGGCTCTACCTGTCGGGAGCGGCACTGGGGGACACACTGTACGGGTCCTCTAGGGAGTTGGGAAGGGGGTGGCCAGGAGGTCAGGTGATCCACCGATGTCCCCAGGCTGAGTCACTGGAGACCCTGGGACATTCCCTTCCCCATTTCACAGCACGGCCCTCGGGGCCTGGCCTTCCTCTCCTTACGGGGGTGACCACGCCTAATTCCCTATGCCCCGTGTGCCACAGACCTGGGCATGGACGACCACTGGAACGTCTGCCAGGCCGCAGCTCAGGGCAGGAGTGGATAGAGCCAGGTGTCTACCCGGCTTCTTCCTGCTGCTCATTCCATGACTTCCGTGGCCCCTAAAGAGGCAGCCTTCTCACTTCTTCCAAAACGGAGACAGCCAAGTTCTACATGGTCTCACAGCCCCTCCGAGGTCCCCACCGGGGTGTGTAGAGACCCCACTGCCCTGCTCCCCACCTGCACCAGATGCAGGCACTTTGAGTGCCCCCCCTTCTAACCCAGTAATTATCTCCCCACCCCAGCAAGAGAGGGGAAAAGAACAGTTCCTGGGACAGAGGAGCTGGAACTGTGGGATACAGTGGAGTAGGGTGTGTGCCCCCTGGGCCTCTGACAAGCAGGGGGCCCCCTGCCTCCCATGAAAAGCTCAGCACTGCGCGGAGCTGCCAAGCCTGAAACGGCTGGGAGAAAGCCTGGCCTCTACTCCCGACTTCTCTAAACCAGCTCAAGCCACACTCCCTCCCAGGTCACGGCCACTGCGAGATAACTGACACTGTAATGCCAAGGGCCTGGGCCAGCTCAGTGGGCACCTGCCCACCAAACCCGTCTTGCATTGTCGCCTCTCACACTGAGGCCAAGGGGGCCTGCATGCCTGAGCGAACCCCATGAAAACATGGGTGTCCAACACTCACTCATCTGCCTTTAGTTTTTACATGCAAATCGTCATGAAATAAGTTTCTCTTTTTCCACTGTGTGGGTGGGAGGTCACCTCGAGAAAGGAGGTACAGGGGTCTCCCCACCCCTCCACCCCCTGGGTAGAGAATTCCCCAGGTCAGACCCAGTTTGTAATCCAGGCGACCACATCAAGGGCTGGCGGGTGGCTTTTCCATCCCCCACCCCTCAAAAGTTCCCCTTGTGATCAGCCCTCACTTGATTTCCTCTTTGCTCTGACACCTACGAGAACGCAGGAGAAGAAAGTGGCACCGCTGATGTTGCGTTCACTGGTCGGTACCCACCGCAGCAGAGGGCTCGGCCTTCCATGGGACACGCACCTCCACGCGGGGGCTGCTGCTTCAGTGCCCCCTGCATTCGGGGCCTCCCTGCCATCAGCCAGAGCCCTGGAGCATTCAGCACCAAAAGCCCAACCAGTAGACTTCTAAGACAAACAAATTTTCCGAGCTTTCAGGGGTTCATTCTTCCCTCAGACCAGAACTGTAACTATTCTCCTAAACTAAGCTTTCTAGAACATTCCTGACTGGTCTAGTTTCCAGAGACAAACATCACAGTAGTTGAAGAGGTAGCAGAACTTATAGAAACAGGGCAGGTCTCAGAGGCTAATGACCTCGTGGAGCTGCAGGCACCGTGCCCGGGAAGCTGTGGGGCCTTGGGCAAGACACTCAGCCGCCCATGAGGCAGGACTCAGCTCTCCAAGGTCAGAACGACCCCTCCCTCACGGGCCATAGCACAGCACGAAGGAGCTGGCTGATAAATGTGGGGGGAAGCCCTGTTTTCTCAACCCCATTTGGGGTTATCTGATTGCACGAGGCTGTGTCTGAAAAGGCCACCCCCCAGAACACTGTATAGCGGAGGAATGGAGGACGACGCCATGCTTGTTTGCCAGTCGTCCCGGACGGCTCATTTTCCTCTACCGCTGTACTCGTATTTCAGACGCCTGCCCTGCGTCAGACACAGGTGGTACAGACTGGAACAGAAAGAAGGAATGCCCGTGTAGCAGGGAGACCACGCATTTTCATTTTATAAAGAGAGAGTTTACTTTCATTGCTGGGGTCTTCTACCCCCAGTCTGTTCTCACCCTCACATGGCCTGAGCTAAAGTGAGGCCTCCCTGAGGGGGGGCGGGGGGAGCAGCCACCCCAGCTGCTGCTGTGCAGAACCCCTTCTGGGCAAGGATGGAAACATGCTAAGCAGTGTATTTACATAGCATCAAGGGTGCTGCCCTGGTAGAAAAAGGGGTGGGTGGGGTTCTGGGAAGGAAGAAGGGGGCAGGGAAGTCTCAGACCCAGCCCGGCACATCTCAGGGAGTGGTCCTCAGACCCTGGCCTCAGCTCCCCTGGGAAGCCACCAAATGCGGATTCCCAGGCCCTGCCTCAGGCTGCTCATCAGAATCCAGTGATGGTGGGTGGGAGCAGCACACTGAATGGCCCACGAGGGATCGGTGCATCTCGAACCCCTAAGCCTACAGACCACAGACCCAGCTCCTAGTGTGGCCCTTACACGGACACCCAACAAGAGACAGGATTCCGCAGTCGTCTGCCGCGTTCTCTGTCCTCATGTGTGAATTGGGGATAATTAGTTGTTTTCGGCCTGTAGTGCTCTAGACACGAGTCCTAGTGCTTTACCCACAGCGAGTCTCGGTTCTCATGATGGCCACAGCAGATTAGCACCATCATCCTCTCCACTTCGAAGTTCAGGAAACTGAGGCACAGGCTGGTTCAATTACATGTCTGAGGCCAGCTCGGAAGGGGACAACTGGGACTGGAAGCTAGGTAGCGTGACTTTAGAGTCCCTCCCTTCACCCCAACAGGCCAGGAGAAGACAAGGATGCACTTTCAAGGTGCTTGTGTGTCCTGAGAGGGCAGAGGTACTCTCTCGAGCGAGCTGGGGCACGGTCCCCAGATTTAACGGCAGAGGCCTGGCAAGGGACACCACTGACAGGCAGGAGGCTGCATCTGGTCTCTGACTAGATCTGGATTTCCGCTGCCGGGACACCGGGTGGGTTGAGGTGGGACGTGATCATTCACATCGCCACGCAGATCGTGGGTGTGATAGAAAAAACCGAGTCCTCCACACCCACAACTTTGTACAAATGGAACGAGGCTAAAGATTTTCTGAGGGAGCCAGCAGGCAGGAGAACATCGGGGCGTGAGGAGCAGGGCAGGCTGCACCCGGCCGGGACAGAGGGCGCTGGTGGGGGACAGTGGAGTCCCTCTGTGTTCTCTGCTGACAGTCACCCGGTTCTGAGACGGGGCCCTGGACTCACCAGTGAGCTGCTTACCAGCTCTCTCCACCTCCTCACTGTGGCATCTAAGTACCGTAGGGTCTGCTTGGCCCAATGAGCCCCATTTAACAGCTGGAGAAACCAAGGCTTTGCACAGAAAACAGCTTTTAGATGTCTGTGTCTCAGTTTCCAGACCACGGGTGGGACCCACAGGCACAGCCCGTGCTCCGTGGTGACCAAAGAACTGGGACGACCTTCTCTGAGGCCAGCCTGCCCAGCCCCGTCTGAGTGGTTAGTTGTATGTGCGTGTGTTTCCTGGGAAACCTACGAAAAGTAAGGCCTGCTTTCACCCCTGCTGAGGCCATGAGCTTGGGCGAGACTCAAGGGGCCGGGGCATGAGCAGAAGCTGAAATCTCTGGCTTCCTGTCCTTGCCCACCGACTCCCCCAAGCTGCTGTGCCAACTCAGAAGCCTCATGAACCCAGCCTTTGTCCCAGCCTGTCAAGGGTCAAGTGCTAACTCGGGGGAACCTGGTAATTCAGTGCCAAGGACAGCTATGTGACTTTGTGACATGAACCTCAATTTAGAAATCATAATCTTTCCTGGACGTGTTATGAAAACTCCCTCAGCCTTGGTTTCTTCACCCTTTAAATGAGAATAGATTTTCCCTCATGAGTGCCTGCTTTTGCTGCATGATTGCAAATGAGACCTACTGAAAGGTTAGCATTTCAAAAGGAATAGTAACAAGGCTCCAAGAAATAATAATGTGATGAAGAGGGAGGGGGCTGTCATCTTTGACCTCATAATATCTGTGGCTGGTAAGTTCTGCCTGGGTTTCCTTCCTTTTTTGGACTCGTTTTCTATTTTTATCCTTTTGTACATTTTGTTCAGTCTGACTCATTTTTGAGTTAAGCTATCAGCAAATATTCGGTGTTTTGAATTTCGTCTTCTGTTCTCACCACATGGAGTTTGTTTTTGGCAGATAAAACTATTTTCAAACGTACGTGACTAAGAGGCTTTTGAGAGCGCAGGCCACCGTGGCCCGCACTGGGTCTGGGGCCATGGAAACGGTCACCCACCGGTCGCACACGAACCACGCTGGCAGCCGCTGACAGAGGCGGGCTCCAGGCGCACGTGGGCTCTTGTGTCCCCGCCCACCCGTGCGAGGCCGTTTTGATGTTTCCCATTTTCATACACACAGAGATCAAGCTTGGATTAAAAATAAACCTCTTCCCAAATCACAGAGCTATAAAGTGGCGGAGGTAGAATCTAAGACAGGTCTGATTGATTTCAAAGCCCGCTCTCTCTTCTGAAATTTCTCTCTGGATTTCTCTTTTCATTCCTGGCACGTATGCCAGCACTTAATGTGTTGTCTTACCTTACGTCTGCAATGATCCCTGCGGCTTCCCCGGAGCTCCTCCAGGTCCCTCACTGATCTGGTTCAATTCCAACGCCCTGCTCTCCATAAAGCCAGGGGCTCCAGGAATATGGGACAATACACTGGAACCTGAGGAGTGCACTTAGGTGTCCTAGTTGCCTTTGCTGCACTGCAGGGGACAAAGCTCAGGCATGAGTTTAGGTGGGGTCCCGCCACCGACTGCACGTAGGAGGACCGCCCTTCCATCAGAACTGCTAACAAAACCCCAGTGCCTTCTCCCTTGTCCGTCTCCAGTTTTTCTGGCGCTGGGAACAAGGTGACGGAGGGGGCTGATGTCTTGCAAAGGGCCACGTGAAGGTGATTACCTTTAGGCAAAAGTCCCAGTGAAAGATTTATCTGATCAATGTTTAGGCATTATAACTGTAAACACATTGTTATTACGGGAAATTCCACAGGAAATTCACCTCTGCTATTGCGAAATTGAAACAGTCCAGCCCTGTAAGCCTCTTCACCAACCCCCATTGGAACCGTTGTTTTTATAATGGAGTTTTGCTTTTGTTTTTTGTTTCTGCTAGTTTTTGATTCTGACGTTAGGGAAAACGGTTGTTCTGTTTCACAGTCTTACTCTGGAGTCGGAGATCAAAGCCTCGGCCTGTCCGCAGATCTAGGCCAAGGTTCTCCTAGGGGCACAGATACCAAACGGGCTCTCCTGTCGACACTCGTTTTCTCACAAGGGCCGGTTCTGTGACGACCCGCTTACCAGGCTGCCTGCCACACGCCAGGTGTGCTTCTCCTGCTTGCTTTACCAACAATGGCAGATAGAAAGGACCCAGGAGCACTGGCACCTCTCCCCACTGCCATTCAATAAACCTGCCTTGAGCATCCTGGATGGCACAGGCAGGACGCTGGGCCAGGCGCCACCAGACAGCTGCTCCTGGGCTTCACGGTCATGCCCCTGACAGTCACAGAAGTTCAAAAATATGACCTAACCTGGAGTAACTGCTCCAAGGAAAAGTCAGGGGTACAGCAGGAAAGCCTGCCCTCCGGGAGGAGACTCTGTGTGGATGGAGGTGGGAGGAGAGAGGGAAAAAGAGGGCGTGTCCTGGGCAGAGGGTGGGGCTCTGAGGATGTGGAAGCCGCAAGTGCCTGTCCTCCGCTGCACAGCAGTCAACAGGCGGCCTGCTCGCACACGGGGCCACTTGTCCAGATGCCCACCATAAAGGCCGCTTCCAAACCCTCACTTTCCAGACTAACCCAGGCCTGCGTGGGGAAGGACGCGTCCACACTCAGACTGGGAGAGTCAGCCTCCGAACTGGGGCGAGTGACTGGGCAGCCGCACGAACCGTGTGCATTAGGCCCCCGCACTGGCAGGGCACTTCTCTGGGGCCTGTCCCAAATTCTGTATCTGCAATTTCACATTCTTTTTCTTAAAGAGGACCTCCAAATTTACATACACCTTCATGCCCCACCAAACCTGGACCCACCTCTTACTAGAACTCAGGACTTCTGCCTTCAAGCCCAACACACACACATACTCTCTCTCTCTCTCTCTCCCCAGCTCTGCCTCTGATTTCTGGGCAGGGTCTGGGCTACACACCCCAGAAGGACCCCTTTTGTTAATTCAGTGACGTGGAATGTGAGGGAGGTCTCCCCACAGGTGCAGGTCAGGTCAGAGGCTTCTCTGGGTCAGCCCTTCTCAACTGACACTGCTCCTTGTCACAAGCCCGGACCCCCTTCCGTGACCACGGCCACTGTGAATCACTTTTGGTTTCCATTGCCCACCCAGTGACGGTTCACTCTCTGCAACTCAGTTTCCCCGAATGACTCATTCATTTGCCAGTTGATAAACAAATCCTGTGTCAGAAAGACCTCATTCACCTTTCTTCCTCATTCTAGTACTTAAGCTCTCTTTTGACTTGGCCTGGGGGCGACTGGATCACAGAAAGTGGCCTGTTGGGGCCATCGAGGCTGCCATGCCCGAGTGCTGGTTCTCCAGATTTTCCTGGGTGAACGAGGCAGGGAATGGCCCCTCTTACCGTTACCTGTGTATTCTCCAGAAGAGTCTAGAATGTGGGCTCCAGCAGAGCAGGGAGCCTGGGCTGGCTGTGTCCATCATGCTTGGCCTAGGGGAGGTGCTCAGTGAATAAATGTCAGTGAATGAATAAATGTTACCCCAAACTCTGAGTTCTGATGCCCAGCCAACAACGGAGTAATAAGTGTCAGAGCAAACAACCACTGCAGTTGATGATCTGTCAGGTGCCCCAACGTTAGCCTGAGTCCAATGCACCGGAACTAGGGCAAATCGCCAAGGCTGCGAAACGAGAACTCTGCTTACTGACGAAAACCAGATTCCTATCTTATCACTGCTTCTCTGCCCTGCAGTAAGCTGTGCTCATATCTGCGAAGGGGCGCATTTTCCCTCTCAGAACCTCACCGGAATTACTTTCAATATACAGACAATGAAAAGTTCTGACTTTTTCTTTCCCCACCATCCCTAAAATTAACTAGATCCCCAACATGGTTCCTTATGTTCTAGAAGGAAGAGGTGCTTTATTGACATTCAGAGTCAGTTTCCAGGGTCCAATGGCCCTCAGAATTCAGGTAGCCTAACCTCCAGCACCCCACAATGTTATCCCTGTGGGACCCTCAAGGCCCAGAGAGGGCACCTGGGGCGATGGCACTAAGAAGGGAGCCCCTTGTTATGTACAAGGTGGCGCCATCTCATCTCATAAGGTCCATGTCATGTTCATCTCATCTCATAAGGACCCTGGAATGGGGTGTCATCAGCCCTGCTTTAGAGGTTGAGAAATTGGGTCTGGTGGGCACTGGAGGGCTTGCCCGAGGTTGCACAAGTCAGTAGACATGGAGGCAGACCCTGAAGGCAGGCCTTGTGCCTACAACCCATGGGACACTGGGTCCCTGCTCCTCAGATGAGACCATCAGGGCCGAGGCAGGCCTGCCCCTCAGGGACCCCCCAGCACCCTATGCTGCCCCCCCCCGAAAAGAGGAGGCCCACTGTATAAACTGCTGTTTCAGAATAAGTCGGGTGTCTCTAGCCTCAAAAATGAGTCCCCAGGAGGGACTCATCTTTGCAGCCGCCCCTCACAAGACCCACCTTTAGCTCCTTGTAAACAAGAATCCTGATTGTCCCTGTTTCCCCAGGACTGGACGGCGACTACCTGGCTGTGCTGAGTGATTACCCATCTCCTGATATCAGCCCCCCAATATTTCGCCGAGGAGAGAAACTGCGTGTGATTTCTGAGTGAGTTTGCTTTCATAAACTTTTACAATAGTCTCAAGAAGAATGAACTCAATTTGCGGGGGGATGAGGGTGGGATGGTCAGGTTTCAGCTGTAGCTGTTCAATTCCACTTGGGCACTGGCCCTATTGTGGGGGAAGCATTTGGCCCATAAAGAAGTCCCTAAGGCTTCATCCCCCTCGATGCTGCCAGCATTTTGAAGCCTTCAGTGGCTCCCCATTGCCGACTGGATAACAGTTTAAATTGATCCTTTATGGTCCAAACTCTGCTTCTACATTAGCCTCATCTCCCACTGCGCATGCAGTGTTGGTATTAGTTGCCAGTGCAGACCTGGTGGGGGGAAGGACCCAGGGGTCTGAAAAAAGTGCTCCTGATAGACAAACAGCATTGCCTTCTGTCCCACTGTCTCTCCCTGATTCGAAATATGCTGTCGAGCAAGTGGGGGTTCTAATCCCCTTTTATTTAAATCTTCTTGGACACAGACATGGGAAACTGTCTTGGTTCTAGCATAAGGTATAAATCAGTACAAGCACACACTTAGTTTTTAAAAGCCTCCAATTGTGGAACATCAGCTGAAAGCATCTGCTGCTGATCTCTGGTGGCTGTTGCCAGCATGCGGGAAGATTTCCTAATCAGTATGGCATGGGGGGATAGACTTAAAAATTAAATCTTCCCATGGAGAAATCTGGGTCAACGTGGCCAATGACAGATCTTTAAAAAGGATGTTCCAATGCACCCCGGGTAAAATCTGATTACTCTGTTTGTTCATTCATTCATTCATTTGTTTGCTATTTAGCTGTGACGCTTTCCTACCTGTTCTCATTCTTATAGTGAAGGGGGCTGGTGGAAAGCCATTTCCCTTAGCACTGGCCGAGAGAGCTATATTCCTGGAATATGTGTGGCCAGAGTTTATCACGGGTGAGTACATGTCTCAAGTACCATCGATACAGCAGGATATTTATGCTAAGGATTCATGTGTGTACACAGAGAGATCCCAGCCTGCTAGAGTGGAAAGGAAGGCATTGGTTTGAGAAAGTCATTTCTACTCTCAATACAGTTCATAGGGAAGGGTGCCATCTTGGGCGAGCCCCTCGCACTGTCTAAAACTTGGTGGCCCCATCAGTAGGACAAAGGGGGTTAGACCTTTCAGCTCTAACTTGGCGTTCCTGGCACATGGCAATTGACACCCAGGAAAAATAAGGATGCAGCCGGTACAGTGGCTAAGTCAGTCTGCCTAGGTTCCAGTCCTGCCTCTGTCCCTCACTGGCTGTGACAGTAGGCAAGACACGCAAGATCATGCATCAGTTTCCTTTCCTTGCCTGTCAACTAGCGACCATAATACAGAATTATAGAAATAGTAATACAGAATAATGTGACCGCAGTACAGGGTTGTCAGGAAAAGGAGATGGGGTCACGCACGGATAATTCTTGGGACAATGCCTGGCACTGCAGTTAGCACTTGGTACACATCAGCTATATTCTTATCCAATCATATGCAAAGAACACTGAGCACCCAAAACGCTACATATCCAACTTGACAAACGCAGAATCAAGCAGAAAAGCAGAGACCTAAAAAACAATCAGGCATGGAGGATGAGGAAGCACACCGCACTGCCCCACAGTCTGTGGGGGAGGCCCTGCTGCCTGGATGGCGGCTGCGGAGGCCAGGCCCCCACCCCGGGCGGGGATGTGTGTGGCTCGGCTCCCCGACTTCCACGAAAGAGTTTTCCTGGTCTGCGGGTCTTCACACACACAGTGCTTCAGGGGCACCGAGCTGGCCCCGTCGGTGACCAGCCTGCATGCCACGGGGAGTGCGACATAAAGCAGCAGAGCATTAATGTCTCCACAGTGCGCCCTCATTCCACAGATCGAAAGCCAGGGTCCATTCACCGAAATACAACAAGTGGTTAAAAAAAAAAAAAAAGGATGTACAAGTGCTCTGAGTACATGGCAGCCAGCTGCTAACCAACCACCTGCTCCCACAGGGAGACTCGGCCAGGCCTGCGCTGCAGCATGAGCGAGGGCCCGTTCGCTGGGAACTGCCTTGTGCACAGAGCTGCTCCCAAAACACACTCAAAAGTGCCGGCCCCCCTACGGCAGGTGCACACCCCACGGGCAAGCTCAGTAACGTTCTACAATGGCTTTTCTTTGAGTGAAAAAAGCAAGAAACACATGCGAACACACAGAGCAATAACAGCTGTATTTAAAATAGGTTGGGAAAAGAAGGCAAAAAGGAAATACAACTAATGTCAAATGGTGTTTGTTAAGTTGAAACGAGGCATCACCATTTCTTTCTTTCTTGTGTCCATTTATTCATTCACAAATATATACCAAGCTCAATGACCTGGACATAAAAATGGGACCCCAAAGGACAGCCAGCATCCCTGCCCTCATGGGGCAGTAAGGAAGGGGCTGGGTAGCTAGATTGTAAGGGAGAAAGACATCACAGGAACTACCAAATAGGTACCTTATCAAGTTTTAGAATGCTTATGGATTACCTAATACAGAACAGGCCCAGTCCAGGTGGCATCTGAGAAAGGAGATAAGAAAGCTGTTTCTTGTTTTTTGTCTTTTGTCTTTTTTTTTTAGAGAGAGGGAAAGGGAGAGAAACATCAATGCGTGGTTGCCTCTCATGCACCCTCTACTGGGGACCTAGCTTGCAGCCCAGGCGTGTGCCCTGACTGGGAATCAAACAAGCGACCCTTTGGTTTGCAGGCAGGTGCTCAGTCCACTGAGCCACAGCAGCCAGGGCTGAAAGGCTGTTTTATGCATCTTTGTGTTCTCATTACTCAATGTAACACCTGACATGCAGTAGATACTAAGGAAGTTTATTTGAAAGATTAAAAGTATGAATGAATGAACTAGCGAAGAGTCCATTGCCCTCACCTTTTCAGTCCCAACAGTTCCACATAAACTGGCCCTCGATCTTAATTTCTGAACCTCCTCCCCACTTCCCCGCACACTCATGGCTGTCTCCCTGCTTCCCAGCTGGCTGTTTGAAGGGCTGGGCAGAGACAAGGCGGAGGAGCTGCTGCAGCTGCCGGACACGAAGATGGGCTCCTTCATGATCAGAGAGAGCGAGACAAAGAAAGGTGAGCGCCTCCAATGCACCTTTTCATGCTTGAGCCAGACAGGCAGGTTGGGCTCCTCACTAAATGGCTCATCCTCCCTCCTCCGGTGAAGCGCACAAATCAAACAGATGTGGTCAGCTACTGGCAGACCACACACCACCAGTGACGTCAGCACCAAAGCAAGGGGACTCGACCCAGAGAGTGGGGGCCTGGCCCCCTTTCAGGCCCTGCCGACTCCTCCCATCAACTGAGAAGAAAAGCGAATGCCAGGTGTAGGCAGCCCCCGGGCAGAGGGTGTGGCTTTGGACTAGGCCTGGCCTGTGCTCTCAAGCTCTGAGACTGGGGCAGGTCATCTACAGGAAAAAACCCCTCCCTTGCAAGGTGATGGAGCGATTCAAATGTCATGTTTGTGCTGGTCTCACTACACAGGAGACCCCACACTAGTTCCCTGTGTGCCCAACAGTGAAACCTGGTACCTTCAAGAATCGGAACAAGCAGATACAGACTCTTACCTACTCACCCCGGTCTGTTTCCTTACATCCCACACATTAAGTGATTCAGCAAAAGTGATACGGCAGGGCTTTGCCATGTTCAGAGCAAGGGTCCCTAATTCTAGTTTCAGCTACATGAATTATTGAGAAGTCACCCCCCCTCTCTGAGCCCAGGTTCCCTCATCTGTCACATGGGATTAAAAGGAGGGGAGTGCTGAGCATGGCGTCTGGGACACAGAATATGCACTTAAGCAGGTGCAAGACACTTAACAGCCTGGGCTTTCCAAGACCAAGTAAGACTAATAATAACTATTTAGATATATTTTCCAGGTCTTGGCCTGCGTCTTGCACACTTGCTATCAAAGAAGAGGAAACACAGAGTCTGAGAGGATTTTCCCAGCACCTATTAAGCAGCAGAGATGCTTGGTGCTGGTGCCCTTGACCAAAATGAGCAGCAGCCTTACTTTGGGGAAGCAGGGACCACAGATATGTAAAAAAATCTAATGACAACTTTCCCCTCAAAAACCTCATGTGCTAGAGGAGAGCAAGATCAAAGCGAAGGCAAACTTCCTGTGCATGTCCCAGGGTCCCCAAACAGGGGACCCAGACCCAGAGCCTCTGAGCTGGCATGGCTGGGGCAGGGAGAGCCCAGCCTGAGGCACCTGAATTGATCTAAAAATAAAGCTGGCAGAGCTGCAGCTGGGCCGGGCCCGGGTGGGGCGGCAGGCTCTGCTCCCTTGAGTATGCAAAGTTCTCATGAGTTTCCACCTGCCCCCTTCGGCCTACTTACCATACTTCAAGTCCCTGTCGACATTACCGGGACACACATGTGGGGCCGACTCAGAGGGCAAGTCTGGGCCAAGATAGAGACGCCCCCCCAAATCCTAGCCCAGAAGACTACTTGGGACAAGGGTCCAGCCCCAGGTCTGCTGTTTCCAAGCTGCACACTTCTGGCCACGTCAGCCAGGGGCTCAGAGCCTCAGTTTTCCCATCTATAAAGTAGGTGGGGATAACTCCTCCCCAGGTCTTTCTGGGATCTCATGCAGGTGTTGCTCCAAGACAGATCCCAGGCCAGCACAAGCAGCAAAGACTTGGTAAAATCTAGTACCCTCCCCTCTCTCCACCTCGGGCCCCTTTCACCCCTGGACCCCAGAGAATACAGCGCAGGAAGGGCTCCTGAACGTGCCCTCAGTCAACCCTCCAACTTTCCAGGGGCCAGTCACCGCTGGGAGAGGTACAGTGCTGGCCCAGGGTTCTGCTCTCACTAATCCATGTCGGGTCACGACTTAACGGTGCTTAAGGAGAAAGAAGGCACTTTACACATTTCTTAGCGAGACCTGGAGAAACGTCTCAACTGCCACTTCTTCAAAAGCCCTGAGGACACCCAGCCTAAGTTGAGGGAGTTGGGATGAGAAAATAGGGGCATCACTACGAGGCCCTCTCAAAGGGGCAGTGGCCCTGTGGGGACAGGGATGAGACAGCAGCACGGACAATTTAGAGAGTGCGTTCAGGAAGAACCCAAGGACGACCCCAGACAGATCCTGCCCTGTAGCAACCTACAACCCTAACCACTTAATCCAGCCGAAGGACCCAAAAAAGGGCGTGGAAACACCCCGTGTGGTCACCTTGCAAGGCAAAGACGAGGCCTGTGCGCCTGAAAACCCGTCCTGTAATGTGGTTCACATGATGTGGCTGCTGAAGTGTCACGTGGTCCCTAAAGTGCGAGCTGCGCCTGCACAGACGGGGTTCCTGTGGCTGCTGCTCCACAGAGGGCGTGCCTGCGCACCATCGCTGTGTCCCGAGGCTGAGAAAGTCTCTCTGCCTCAGGGGTGGTGGGCTCCTCAGTCAGCTGCCCTCGGGTGGGTTCACGTGGAAGCCACTGACTCGTCCTCCGTGCCCTGCAGGTTTCTACTCTCTGTCGGTGAGACATCGGCAGGTGAAGCATTACCGGATCTTCCGCCTGCCCAACAACTGGTACTACATTTCGCCCAGGCTCACCTTCCAGTGCCTGGAGGACCTGGTGAATCACTATTCCGGTAAGAAACGCTCCGCCGGGACAGGTCTATGGGGCCTCTTTGCTAACTGTCCTGGGGCGCCCTCCATCTAGGGTGCTCCTGGGTCACGCACACGTGCCAGGAGATGCGGGTTGCTCTCTGCCCCTGCTGCCTGCTCCATGCGCTCTTTTCCTGTTCGTTCAGACTGTAAATTTCAGACCAAACCAGGCTGCCTGCAAATGCCGCCTGAGTGGGTGAAACACAACTGATGTCACCTTCGCCCTCTCTCTGCCTGTGAATGAGAGCAGCCAGGATGCCCCTGTGTTCACAGCCACAGACAGCTGGGACTTGCTGAAGTGGACCATGCATTTGCAGGCCTCCAGGGGTTTGTTCTGAGACGCAGATCATTTCCTCTTTTCTGCATCTCAGAACCCTCCTTGGCCTTCAAGTGTTGAGTCTGCTCCAGCAGATGCCAGGGTTCTTAGAACTCCGCTCACTCTGCCCGGAGGCCTCGTTAACACTGTTCTGGCCTGTGTTTCCCAATGAGCTCTTCAAGACCAGGGGTTGTGCTTCATTCATTCACCTGCCCTTCCTGGACCCAGGAGAGAGGTCGAAATGTTCCACTCAGACCAGGACGAGGGCCATGTGCCAAGACGGCAGAAACAGAGCGAGGATTTTGACAGAGGAGATGGGAGAGTGTGGAGTTAGATGAGGAAATCTGAGTCAGACTAAAAGACCTGAATGCCAGGTCAGGAGCTGCACTTTTACCTTACAGAAAAGGGGGAAATAGTGAAAAGCTGGCTACGCATCTAAACCCGGGTCTGGAACCTCTGTGTTCGTGTCCCAGACCTTCTGGGCAACCTTGGGCCGGTCGTTCAACTCTGTGCCTCCTTTTCTTCTCTGTGTCGTGGAGATGCTAACTGTCCCCACCTCGGGGCACTGCACCATTCAGAGTTAGTGTGTGCCAAGTACTGGGGCTCTGACTGTCTCTCAGCAGGGTCATCCCTTCCCCCTCCTTCCCTTGAGCATTGAAGAGAGAAAGAGAGGGAGTTGCCTTCACTTTGTTAGTGTCTTCCCCTTACAGGTTCAGAAGGTCCGACCTCACACCCCCAGGGGTCTTTAGGGCATGGGGTCTTGAAGGGCATTTCGAGGAGAAAGGGAGAGTCCACAGGGCCTGGGTTATCACACTGGGCCTGTGAGAACTGCAGGTCATGAAGGCGGTGTGGCCGCATGGGGGACACAGGCCGGAGCTCAGATGTGGGCTCTGTGGGGCCCTGGACAAACCCTCCACCTCTCCTGGACTCGGCTCCCCACTCACAGAGGGTGGATGCAAGCAGCCCCCCATTGTAATGACTGCTGAACACAATCGTTCATGTGCTGCGGGCGTCACAGCCTGGCATGCGGCGGGTGCAAAATAAATGATAACAAGTATTATCTCTGTGATACCCGAAAACCTAGCAGCGTGGCTAAAAATGAAAGAGGAAGGGAGTCCTGGAAACAGTCAGCTTTTACTGATTATGAGTAAAGATTGGTTGTGGCTTTTAATAACAACCATACGAGAGGTATGCAGACCATGAGTTTTGCATAGGCAAAAGCAAACACGAAAAGGATGCCACCCCAGCGAGGATCTCACATACAGGGTGGTCCACGTGGCTTCCAGGCCAGGTCACCCGAGCACAGTGCACAGCATGGGGCAGGGCCTTCCAGAACTACCTGCCAGCCACCACATCAGTTAACAGATTGCAGTCATCCATTTACCCCTGTGAGTGACTGAAAAAGAACCAAAACCCTGAAATGCTTCCTGTGCCCCCAGGATCCCAACGTGGAAACAACAGGGGCAATTTCACCTCCCACCGGAGTCTTCCTCAAGGCACAGAGTCAGAGCAGTTGTGCACGAAGGGGCTACTTATACTCATAACCCTGAGGCCCTGGGGCAAATGACCTAACATCTGGAAGCCTCAGTTTCTTCATCTATAAAATGGGGGTGAAAATGCCTCTCATGGGGTTGCTGTTAGGACCCCCGAAACATCATGCATGTGAAGCGTCTGGCATCTGAAGTGTTCCGTGCACGGTGGTGACAGAACAGAGAGGGTGGGATGTGAATTCAGTTAAAACGGGGCCAGAAGAGTGCAGGCATGGGAGAAGGGGACCCTGGAATATAGAGCTGGAGCTGAAAGGTGTGAGAGGAATGAGTGTTCTAGAGCGTTCTGCAGAGGGGGAGAATCAGACAAGTGTGTCCAGGCCCCAGAGGCCACACAAATTTCTTTCTTCTCCGTTCTGGAGGCAATGAGTTGCTTTTGGAACAACTGCCTGGTTCTGAGTCCATGAAACACTTTGGGTCCCACTTCTGTGCCCTTGGGCAGGTGACCTGATGCCAGGACCCTCAGTCTCCTCATTCCCCAAACTGGGACTCACCGTCCTGACTGCTCAGTGACGTGGCCTCACTGAAATGATGCATAACAGGCCAGCTCAGCACTGGACTCAGGTCAGGTGCTCACATGCACTGGTTCCCTTTCTCTTTGCCGAACTTCCTTTTTCACCGGAAGGACCGACCTCCCTCAGGCAGGACTGTCTCAGAGTCCCCCACCTGGGCTGTGCAGTCCACCGCTTTCCTCAGTCTTCGTGTCTCACTCAGTGCGTCCCCCAACCCAGGAGGCCACTCAGTTCCCCAACCCGTAACAGCTAGCTATTTCAGCTTCACACCCATTAAGCTCCCTCTGACCTCAGGGTCCAGTCTCACATTCCGTGGGGCCGCGTGGGTGGACGTTCGGGTTCACGGTGACAGGCAGACTGATGCTGGAACAAGGCGTCACTGACTGCCACCCCGTGATGGCCTGGGCTTGCTTCCTTGCTACTACTTCCCTTCATTCTTTGGCGAGGTCACCCCAACCTTGCTCCATAAGATGGGAGGTGGAGACACCCATTGCTGTAACTCTCTCCCTAAAACCTGGTGGTGTGTCCCGCTGGAGGCCAGCAGCACCCGGCCCCCTTGGCCGGCCACTCTATTGCCTTGTGACATGAGAGCAGTGGGGGGCAGCCGGAGGAAGCCCACTCAGAATTTGGCCCATTTATCGGAATGTCTGAGCGCAGCCAGAATCCGCCTTTCCTGCCATGACATGGGCTAGGAGAAGGCTTCCGAGAGATGGAGGTTACAGCTTAATGTTCCTGGAAAGGGGGGGGGCCTGGAAGCTCAGGCACGTTATACTAGCTGGGGGAGGGAAGAAATGGACTTAATTTTCACGCCCTTTGTGCCTGAATATCTGGAGTAAAGAAGAGAGGGTTTTGTTCACTTTATTTCGTCCCCTTTCTCTTTCACCTTGAATCTTTGTTTTTCTCCTCCTCTTCTGTGCCTTTTATCTTTTTGGACCTGTCTTTACTCCCTCCTCTCCCCTTCCTCGCTCTCTTGCCTTCTTCTCCCCTCCCCCTTTCCTTCCTCCTCTCTCTTCCCTGTCTTCTTCCATCCTTTCTTTCACCCTCCTTTCTTCCCGTACACGTGCCCAGCCCACCACGCTGTATTAAATGCTGCTCCGTGTGCTGTGGAAAACCAGTGTTGTACACAGAGCCCCTGAACCCCACTGCCCCGCACACAAGAGCTTCACCGTCGTTGATGGAGCTCTGCCGGATGGTCCCTCGGCCCCACTCCCCACACCGGCTGCAGCAACTCGGCGTCACTGACTGGCGGTCTGTTTCCCTCCTCAGAGGTGGCCGATGGCCTCTGCTGTGTGCTGACCACACCCTGCCTCACTCAGAGCACAGCTACCCCCGCAGTGAGAGCCACCGACTCCCCCATCACCCTGCGCCAGAAGACCCTGGACTGGAAGAGGGTGTCCAGGTACGGTGTCTCTGTGTGTGTGTGTGTTATGTGTGTGTCTCTGTGTGTGTCCTCCATGAACACATGAGCCTGCCACATGGAAACCAGGGACAGTCACAGCTGTCCCTGCTGAAACGTGACAGAGGGCACGCTGAGCGGGTACAGACCCCTGGAGTCCCCCTGTCCCCTGGGAGACAGAGCAGCGCCGGGGCCTCACACAGCAGGTGGCATGACCCCAGCCACTCCCTGCCAGGGCTCCCAGCTCCCCAGTTCTGCAAACATTTCCCAAGTCCTCATTCAATGTTAGCAGGACATTTTCTACCTGAAAGATACCACCTTTGTTTTTCTTATTGTTAGGATCCCAGAAAGTAATGTACAAATAAATCTTGTATAGATTTAATATTATTTTAAACTCACTTAGAAAGTTGAAACATACCAGCAAAATCCTGAGGTGACATCATTTTTTTCAAAAGCGAAAACATCTTCCACTCATTTGTTTTCTTTGTCAGCGTTCGCATTTTAGGGATCTGTGTAGCTGTGGATTGGTGGGTTGTCTTATTAATCAAATGCCGATCTAGACATCCCACTGGCAAACTCGAAGAAAACTACAGGTCAGAACTGCCTGAGAACTAAATAAAACTTCTCCTCCTTATAATAAAAATATTCACTAAAATTTGCCGTTAGACATTTTAGCCATTTAAGGAAATGGTGGTTGAGAGATGTTAAGTGATTTACCTAAGATCGCACAGCCACACGTGTAAGAAGCAGAATTGGAACAGTAAGTTAGTGAAATACTAACCAGGCTCTTTTTTTGTCTTCCTCTTCTCACTCTCTGGCCCTCCATCCCTCTATGTCCCTCTTTTTTCCTTTCTTCTGCCCCTCCCGGTCTCCCCACTCACAGACTTCAGGATGACCCCGAGGGGGCAAGGAACCCGCTCGGTGTGGACGAGTCCCTTTTCAGCTATGGCCTTCGAGAAAGCATCGCCTCCTACCTGTCCCTGACCAGCGAGGACAGCGCCCCCTTGGACCGCAAGAAGAAGAGCATCTCCCTGATGTACAGTGGAAGCAAGAGGAAGAGCGCCTTGTTCTCGTCGCCGCCCTACTTTGAGGACTAGCCGAGAGCAGATGCCACGCCAAGTGCCCGGAAGGAACAGAGGTTCGGCCTCTCAGCTGGGCTCCTGCAGAAAGGCTCGCTTCCCTGGCCCCTGGGGAGCCTCACGTCTTCCAGGAGCCAAGAGAAGCTACGTGCGACTCTCACTCCCACCTTCTCTACCCGCATGATGACCTGGGGAACCCTCTCTGGTGTCTGATCAGTCCTGCAATGTCACAGAGCGTTGACTTGCGATGACCTGACCTGGCAGTGTTTCGGGAGAGTCCGACTTGTATGTTGTACGTGTGTGCCCGTGGTGTTTGTGGGAAAGACAGACACGCTCATCAGAAAGTGCACCAGGACCATCCTCCGACCACTGTCCAGATGGCCGCCCCCTGAGCTCACAGAGAAAACTTCTGAATGGGAAACGTCTGGGAAGAAGATGAGCCAGACGCTGTGTCCTGGCCACTGTCTGGGTTTTCGAATTGGCCTTGTACCTGGAGCCCTCTCAGCCAATCCACAGAGACCTTCGGCACGCGTCTTTTCTCTCTAAGGGGACTCAGTGACATTAAACGTGAACCTTCCAGATTAGTCCTGAATCAGGAGGTCTCTTTGTCCTGCTGGTCCCAAAGCCACGTACACAGAAGTCAGATGGCCTCCCTAGCTCTGCTGGGGGCAAGGCAAACAGGAGAGGGGGAGGCTGCTGGCTGGGGGGTGCAAGGAACTGCACGAGCTTGTACCGTGTCCCAGTCACGGCTTTGCGGCCCAGAGAGAGCTCAGGGGCATATGGAGGTTCATGCCTAAATCGATGCACCAGTGGTTCATTCATGACTTCCTGAAGAGGCACTGTGTTATGTCCTGTGTACGGTGCCAGGCCAAAAAAAAAGAAAATAGCAGAGAGAAGGATGACTGAGCCCCAGGTCCCGGCAGAGGCAGTCATAGCGTGAACAGGGAGAAACGTGTACTGACAAATACTATGTACATGGGGTGAGAACACAGAAATCAGCTCCTGGCTTTGGAGGTGGGGGGGGACAGGGGTCAGGTTAGGGTGACCCAGGAGCTCATGTTTCAGCCAGATCTTCAGAGAGTGGAAGTCTTGACTGGACTGAGATCAGAATGGTTGGATTTTTTTGGAAAAAGAAAAAGGGAAATTGCTAAGTTCTAAAGAATTCAACGCACCCAGTATTTCACTCTGAGGGCCTGGCATCCACATGAATACAGTGCTGAGCTCCAGGAAGGGTGGGCGTCGGAGGGGCTGCACTCCCTCCATGCCATTCAGAGATGGCAGAGAGACGCAGTCAGGTGGCCCTGGAGGAGGAGAAGCCCGTGTCCCCAGGCCGCCCCGGGACCCCGCTAGGAAGGAGGCTGCAGATGAAGCTGTGACTCATTTTCCCCTCTGCAAAGGGGCTCCGGGGAAGGACCAGTACATGTGATGTGGCACCTCTCTCCACCCGATAGAAGTCTGTCTGTCCAGCACACGCATCCCATACCTCTGAAATCGCTGCACTCTCGGTGTGTGTGCGAGCGTTTACATGGTCTTCCACATCATCAGATTCCAGAGTGTTTATACAGCAAGACATTTATGGTTTCCTCCACGATCCCCAAAGGCTGCTTCAAAGGGACCGGCCAGCGTGCGGGGATCGACTGTGAGTGACACTGTGGACGCTGACGTCCGACATAAGGCAGAGGGACCCTGCGCACTCCAGATGTTTGTAACATGTCTCACGTGCTATTTTCCGTTGTGACTCATGTGGTGGAACATGTGGGGAGGACTTGGAGAGATTTCTAGGTGGGAAGCATTAAGTTTTGCTAAATCATGTATTTATTCCTGATTAAAATAAACCTAACGCGTATTTAACCCCTGGAATGTAAGGAGAGTTTCCTGGGCGGGTGGTTCATTCAGAAGCTTCTGTGAGTCTGAAATTCTCAGACACTTGCAGCTAGAAAGGGAATAAAACATGAAACAGCTGGAGAAGCCTCGCCAGCTAGAATCCCAGTGCCTTCTTGAGGTGCAGCCTTGAGCAAACCAGGTGTTACAACTTCAACCGTGTCTTACCGCACTTGGAGGTGGACAGAAAAACTTAGCAGTTGTTATGAAACTTCTGTCTCACCTGGACACCTCCCTGTATTCTCTGTGATACCTCTGCAGTTTGTTCTCCCAAGAATTTCCTTCCACAAATACCTCTGGACATCTATTAAGTACCAGACACAGCTCTGGGGCTGCTACCATGGCCAGCGGACAAGGTCCCTGCTATCACAGAGCATGATATAAATAAACAAGGAAACTTCACTGTGCAGGAAAGAGCACTGGCTGCTAGATTGGCGAGTGACCCGTGGGGTCACTCTGCTTAATCTGCTGCTTAGGAAGAGCACCCCCCGCCTGGGGAGGCATTTGAGCCGAGGCCCAAAAGATGGGAAGCAAAGACCAATGAAGAATACTGGAGGCAGTGGCGTTGGCAAGGTGACTTCTGAAGGCAGGGTGCCGGGGCTGAATGAGGGGTGAGGGGCTCTCTGGACGGAGGTGGGCAGGTCCAGCAGGGCCTGGCCTGGACGGAAAGGGGCGTAGGGTCTGTTCTAGGAGAAATGGGAAACCCCTGGAAGGATGGAAGTGGAAAAGCATCATTGCAGTCATATGCTTCATGGAGCACACCGGCTGAATCCCCACGTTCTATTCTCTACCTGATACATAGTTGAAATGAAAGGTTGCAGAGTCTGAAAATAAAGGGGTGGCGATGTTTCTGTGCAAAGATGAACAAAAGGGACATCTGTTGAATGTTGAGGCGCAATGAAATTTAGGTGAAAATGCGTTTTTGCCTACAGGCAAAGAGAGACTGACAATAGGAACGACCCGTGAAGGAGACACAGTGATTGAACCCAGGTTAATCTAACACAAGTTTCAAAATATATTAAGCCCAACTATTACAGGGACAAATAGATAATAATTATTATCTGGAGATTTTAACACAACTTCCAGAAACTGATAGATTAAATAAACAAAGGTGAGTAAGTAGATGACTTCAGTAACACTTCTAACTTCCCTGCCAACAAAGAATACATTAGGCCACTGAGTAAGTCCTAATAAATTTCAAGAGTCAACATCCTCTAATTCATGCCCTATGGTAATAATGCAATAAAATTGGATATTAATTTGTGAAAGGATAGGTAAGAATTTTATGTCTCTAAAAGCTAAAAAAAGAGAAAAAAAGGAACAACAAAAATAAAAATACCCTTAAGAAAACACAGGACTTAGCTTTAGATTCTAATCCCTAATGCAGTTCCTTCTTTGCTGTGTGTTCTTTAGTAGGACACTAAATATCTCTGAGCCTTGGATTTCTTATCTCTAAATGGCTATCTAAAAAACACTCCAAGTGAATCAATGTGAGGAATCTCTGAGGTAATACTCTAAAGTTCTGTAAGGCCCCAAACACACTAAGCAAATAAATATAAGTTATTGGTTACTACAGGAGTCTGCCTCACCTGCTAGTTCTACAGTTCTGTCCCCAGGATTTGCAGAAAGACACACTTTTATCAAGAATATGTCACCGGCTTGCATTCATTCCCTAAGCATCTGCTGGCAAAAAACACACTAAAGAACCACTAATATGTTGAAGCACTTTAGTTCTCTGGATTCCAGATAATTTCACATGCATCGCAAAGACTTCTGGGAGCAGTTGTAAAAGCTTCTCCTAAATGACTGGAACAGATGGCGAGTTTATTTTTAAATACACTACCATTTGTTAAAACAGATTCGTTTTTGAAATTCCCCAAACACCTAAACTCTCCAGAATTTTGAAAAAGAAAAGTCTGCCTTCTGAGCCTCCTAGAAGACAATCTCAGCGTCTCCTGGGTCCCACTGAGAGCCTGGTTTCTGAGGGGGCCCCCCAGGGAAACGCCTTCAGATCAACTCAAAGTCAGGAAGGTCTGCTTTCAGTCCCAGAAGCTGAGCACTAGCTGGGCTCAGACCTCCTGCCTGTGGAGGGACAGACTGAAGAAAACTAGAATCAAAGGACAAAAAAACACACAAAGTGGGGGAGGGAAAGGAATTAGCCTGTGGGTCCCCCATTCATCTGCTCGCCCATCCCCTGCCCAGATGTTAATTATGCAACAGTTATGGTGAGACAGCTGTGCTGGGTGCTTGGGGCTCCATGGAGAACAAGGCACACGGGGTCCAGTTCTCCTGGAGCTTACGGTTGTGGGAGGGAGACAGGCTCAGCAGTAGGAACAACTGTGCACTGGTGGAATTCACCAGGAACGCTGTGCAGAGAAGTACAGGCGGCACAGGCCAATACAGGGGGTCTGATTCTAAGCTGAAAAGTCTGGAAGGGTTGCCTAGAGGACAAATAGGGCAGACAAAGAGGAAGACGGCAGACAGTGCCTCATGCGGAGGAAAGTGCCTGCATGGGGCAGGATGGATCGTGGACTCCATGGAACACGAAGGAGAAAGATGAAGAGCAGGTGGTAGGTACAGCTCCCAGTCGGAGACAGTGCTGATGCTGACCTAGCACCAGTTGTGTCCACACAATGCCACCCGTAGCCTCTTTATGAGCACCGGCTTTGACCCCAGGAGGGCTGGGCAGAGCAGCAGTGGTCTGCTAGCTGGTCTGTGGCATTAGTCCCAACGGCCTCCCTCTTTCCTTGAGTTGTGTTCCTTAAGAATCTCCTTACTCTCTCTCTGCCAGCAGCACGGCTCCCCCCATTCATCCTCCACCCAGCTCTAAGAGAAGTCTCCCTAAAGGGAAGCAAGTTTCCCATCTGCTTACGAGTGTTCATAGCAGCATGACTCACAGAAGCCAAAAGGTAGGCACAACCCCAATGTCCATTCACAGAGAATCAAAAAACAAAATGTGGTCTATACGAGCAATGAAGTATTATTCAGCCTTAAAAAGGAATGAGATTCTGATAATAAACTCCAACATGGGTCATGGATGAACCTGCATGTGAAATATGTGATCCTATGTGAAATAAGCCAGGCACGAGAGTGCATAGCCTGCGTGATTCTGCTAATGTCAGGCACCTACACGGGCAAGTTCGTAGAGACAGGAAGTAGAACAGCAGTCTCTTTCAGGGGCAGAGGAGAAGGAGGGAGGGGAGGGACGGTCTCACAGGCCCAGAATTTCCGTTTGGGATGACAGAAGACCTGGGAATGATCGATGGTGCCAACTACACACCCGTGTAAATGGACTTAACGCCCCTGAGTGGTACTCTTGAAAGGGATTAAAATGGTAAAGCAAACCAAACAACAAGTGAACAAGCAAAACCTTTTAATGACAACAGCTCCCTTATGCTTGGGATGAACCCCAAGGGGGTCGGTACAGTCCAGCTGCTCTGTGCCCCCCACTCCCGACACCACTGCCCAGGAAGACCTGTCCTCCACGGCGTCTCGGGGTGCTACATATCTCAGTGAAGAGTGAGGCAGTCCCTGGGCACAGGACTCTGCTGGCACAGTCCCACATGGTCCCCAGCTTTCACCCACACAGTGGCCCCCCAGAAGCACTTTCCAACACCCCCTCTTTCCCCTGTGATTGGTTGGGGCTTCTCTCAGAGCCACACCAAGACCCTGTCTCTTCCTATTGGCTTCAAGTGCTTGCCCCTCACCCACAGTTTCCTAAGGATGAGGACGTGAACTATTTAGCAGGGCACTTCCAGGACCTACCACAGCACCTGCAGAAAACTGGACACTCAGTGCAATGAGAAGCTACTCAATGGCGGGATGGCTTGCAGGGCTTATGCTGGGGTCAACAGGTTATTTCTTCCATCATGCTTATTGTCACCAACATTATATCATGATCATCAATACCGTTACATCAGCAGCAGCAGCAGCTGCACCATCACTACCACCTAGCTGGTGCTTCAGACCATCCAGCAGAATTACGAGTGTTGAGTTCTATCTTTGCCTTCATTCAACAGTCAGGAAGTCACCTGGTCAAACCTTTGGAGCTCTGTGCCCAGCCTGTGGCTGCTGCCTCAGCTGCCTGCCACTCCTTGAATACTCACACGGACAGGGACCGTCAACGAGGGGGAAGGGATTAGTGAGAGGAACGAATCACCCGGTCTTGTCCTACGGTTAAATGCCATCATAGGACAGCACTGGCATTTCCACGCTGTCCTACGCAATGCCATCGGGGGGAGGGAGGCCAGAGGTGGAGCACGGGCTGGTGAGGAAACCAGACAGCACAAGGGAAGACTGGGAGTTCCAACCCGGAGATGGAAAGCAACACTGGGAAGCACATGTGAGCTCTCAGCCTGACTTCTGTCCTGTTTCCGGGGCCGCTGCCGGGTGCCGTGAGCACAGTGTTGGCTAAAGCCTACCCTCAGTGTTAACCTCCTCCGCCATCCCCAGCAGAGGCCTGCTCATCCTGCCTCCCATCCCCCGTTGGTGCCTATGGGCAAGGGAGGCCGTGCAGAGTTCAGACCAGGAAACTCAAGCGAGGCTCCCCCACCCGGGATCATTAGCACTGGAGGTGCGAGTGGGCAGCCCTTGGGGCACCCCTCGGCGCCCAGGCACACACGTACATGGAGAGACGGCCACGAGCAGGCCACACACCCAGAACACAGGATAAGGGAATCCAAGCCCTGGAAGCCACTGGCCTCAACAGACAAAACGCAACTGCTCACGGGAGGCACCTGCAGCCAGGTGACGATGGAACAGCGACTCACCATCAGCACGGCTCTCCGGACTCTTCCGGAGCTGCCAGCCCCGGTGCTTAGGAGGTGGATGCCAGCGATGTCAGCTCCGCCGCGGTCGGCTGCCACAGCCACGCGCCGGGGGTCCCCGCCAAACGCGCCGATGTAGGTCTGTACCCAGGCCAGAGCCGCCACCTGGTCCAGCAGCCCCCAGTTGCCACTCACCTCCTCGGACCCTGTAGAAAGAGGAAGAAAGCCTTTTAATTTTTGTGATTTTGCGACTGAAATTTATCCTGGTGCTGTGCAGGCCACCCATGTGGTGCCTCTGGGGGGGGTGGGGGGGCCTGGACTTCTATCCACACGGGTTGGGGCTGTGGTACCAGATACAGAGTGGCCCGTGGGAAGAGCATGGGCTCGGGCATCAGAGCCTCCCGGGTTCAAGGTTCGAAGACCCTGGACATGCGGCTGCATTTCTCTGGGCCACAGCTTCCCCACCTGAGACAGGCAGGGGCCGGTGCAGCTACTCAGATCAGAGACGGCTTACATTCGGGCCAGCCCCTGGCTCAGCCCATCAGCGGCCAGGAGATGAAGCTCCCTCCTCACGTCTTCCCCCACTGCCGGTGGCCCCTCAGGCCCCTTCCCCCCAGCGCCGGCCAGGCCCGGCCGTGGCTCTGGACTCACTTCCTTCCCACTGTCCCATCTCCCATGACCTTTAGTTGCATTGAGCTGAGCTGATCTCACCTTCCTGTTTTCCTAGACTTCAGTAACCACACATTGAAAGCTCAGTGCCATTCTTTCTACTGGAATGAATCAGACACGCACACACACAAACGCACAGCAAAAGCACGATCTTCCCCTTGGCATGTGGGACACTACACATCTGTGTCATTCTGACCCTCCTCTGAATTCAAAGAATTCTTCCTGTCAAGCGGCACCACTGACCACCCCAGAACACAGGCCTGCTTGGGTCTGAGCTGAGGCCCACGCCTGCTTCCCTCCGGAAGCCCCAGCAAACCCCACGTGGTCACTGACCGTGGAGATGTGGGCAACGCTCAGGAGCAGGCCAGAGCGCCCCCAGCTCCGGCCCCTCACGCCTCTCCAGGGGCCTCTCCCGCAGGCAGCGCAAGTCCAATGGGCCACACACAGGGTTGATTCGAAGTCTCCTGAGCTCCCCCGTGGGTAGCATTTCCAAAGTGTCTCATCTCTTCCTTCCAGTGCAGTGCTGCCCACCCATGCAGCTCCTGCACAACCCCCCAGTGCCCCTGACATTTCTGCCCACCGAGTCGCACGCCCTCCCTGGCGCTCCGACGCTCTGCACAGATCCTGGCTGCCCCCGCTCCCCAGAGCTGCCGGCCAGTCTCCTGGGTCAGCACGTGCCTCCCTGCAGCGAGCTTCCCGCCCACATCTGCAAGTGCTGTTTTTTTTTTTACTTTTTTAATGAATTTATTGGAGTGCCACTGGTTAATAAAATTATATAGGCTTCAAGTATACAATTTTATAATACATCATCTGTACATTGCATTGTGTAAGTCAAGTCTTCTCTGTCACCATTTATCCTGGTCTTTTAAACTTGTATTTTGATACTCTCTCTCTCTCTTCCTCTCTCTCTCTCTCTCTCTCTCTCTCTCTCTCACACACACACACACACACACACACACACACAGTGCCCTGCCCTACCTAACATCTCCCATCTCATCCCACTGTCCCTGGGACATGGTCTCAGTTTTTGCAGCGTACTCAAGGCCCCGTGGGACAGGGTCGTACTTCCAACCCACGCCTGTGCCACAGCCTCCCAGGCTTCCCACCAGTTGCTCAAACACATGGCACCCTCCTCTCCCAGAGCCCTCGTCCTGTCTTCCCTCCTTCGTCCCCTGGCCCAGCCCTCCCTCCAGTCTCGGTGGCAACCGCAACTCACAGGTTGCCCTCAGGCGAAGTAAGGTTCCCTTTCAGGGTATTGTCCTCCAGGCCTTCTAAGCTAGGCTGAGCCCCCACTAAAACCAGTGACACATAACAGGTGCTCAATAAATGGTAGGTGACTGAAGGACCATAGTTAGGAAGAACAGGACTTGGTATCAAGTGAGAAACTTGACCTCTGTATTCCTGGAGGAAAAAATATTGCACCCCCATCCCCAGCTGGTACCCCAGAGCTGACAAGAATGCTGGCTCAGTGGACAGAGCAGCAGGAATTTCCCTTTCTGCTGGGGAGACTTTCAGAACTTCCCCCAGTGTTTTTCACGTGCCAGGGTTGGGGTGTCACGGCCACCACCCTCGCTGAGGACTTCTGCATCTGTCCGGATGAGTGCATTTGCTTCCAAGGCCTTAGGCAGGGCCAGAAACAGGACGCCCACTGAGTCGCTCCAGCCCTGCAAGTGTGGGAAGTGCCATCCATGGCCTCCATGTCCAGTGACAATGGGGGTTTGGGGAGGGCAGTGCTGGCTCTTGTTTCCCATCTCTCAGCGTCCCAGTCACATGATAAGGGCCAATGCTGACATTGTGGGGTTTACGGACCCTCAGGAGGCCAGAGTGAGGCAGCGTTCAAGGGGCCGCTCATCAGACATGTCTGGATTGGACTTGACCTCATGCCAGGCAATACGCTAGATTCAGCAGAGGCTGAGACCAACGAGAGGCTGACCCTCAGCACACACCACCTCAAGGGCAGGCATAGAAGGCCACCGCCCAGCTGGTCTGAGGATCGCTAGTCCAACCCTTTACTTCACTGGTGAGGGACTGAGACTTTGAGAAGAAAAGAGTTTGTTTAGGTGCCAATTTGAGATAAAGTTCAGACTTAAACTCCAATGCACACTCAGAACTTTTTGTCCTAACATACCATCCAATTCAACAAACATTTGCTGAAAAGCTATAATGCACAAGAAACTGTGTTATTTTCATTTAAAAAATCAAAGCGCTCTATTTATGGGACTTTCCCTGCTCCAAAGCCTTCATAACTCCCTCCCTCCTGCTGCATCGAGTCCAAACCTCCCCTTGGCTCTTCAGACTGTCTCCAAGCAACGCCAGCCTGCATGCGCAAGCGGTCGGGGGTCCCTGGGTCCGACACTGGCCCTCGCTAGCCATCTGGGCTCACGCACCACGTCCACATTCACTCCCCTAGAGGCCAGTCTGCACGGGCCCCATTCCTGTCCTACCCGCTCGGTCCTGCCACAAACACGAGCTGTCCCATGATGCTGGGGACATGAAGATGGAGAGGGCTGCTCTCCACTGACCAGGGGCAGGCCGTTCGGTGGGGAGATGGGTGTGAGTTGAAGCCCTGGGCAATGTGACAACCCCACTGCCCACGAGGCCCAGCTGCCCCTGTGCCGCCCCTCCACCTCCAAGCTCCCACCCCTCCGGTCACAACCAACCCAGCAAACACTCCATTGTTCCTTCATTGTTTTACTGGCTCTTGCCTACAAATCTGGTTTCTTCAAGAATCCCTCTACAGCTCCTTAGCACTATTCTGGGCTCACAGGGGGTGCCCGCCCCCGTCCTGTTGATGGCCATCAGTGAAAGGCAGCTCGGAGTGCTGGCTCACTCAGCACACGGGCTACGGGGCCCGAGGAGCCGGGCACAGGCCTGACTCCACCACCTAGCGGCTCGGAGGGCTCTGGACACATTTCTTACCGGAACTCGGTTGTCTCCTTCCGTGGAGAGGGGATAATGATAGTGCCCACTTCATTCGGCTGTCATCATCATTAAATTAGTTAGTACTGGTGAACGGAACAGTGGCTGGCATAAAGCTCTGCAAAAGCTGTTTGTTTTTTCCTAAATGGAGTAAAATGGGTCTAGGCCCCAGCACTGTCTCGGAGATGCACTTCGCAGGACCGGCCTTGGCTTCAGTGGCCCTGTGATGGGTCCCTTGCTCAGACAGGCCTTGGTCCTGTTATTCTGGCTGGGGGCATGGCAGCCCCTCAGGAGGCCTCCGAGCACCCCAAGCATGATGAGGTCATGGTGACGGGACCGTGTCTGGCCATCTGTCTGGCTCCCTGGCCAACGCTCACTTCCCCTGTTCCCACTCCCAGGGGAAGGCCTGCGGTCACTCCCTGGTGCCCCCATGCTCCCTCCAACCCTGCATGCCACCATCCCCGGTTGCCCTCACTGTGCTGCTCTGCCAGGGACAGAAGGGCAATCAGTGCAATCCCTCTGCTTCCAGGGCCCATTTCCTCCTGCAGGATTCAGGCTGGGGAATCGGCCTCTCCAAGACTGGCATTGACCCCTCACTTCCTGTCCGACTGCTCAGTTCGTCAGGAGCCACAGCTCCCTGGTGTGGGTTTGGCTGCCTTGTCCAGCAGAGAGCACGGGTTTGGCTAGTGGGCCACAGAACTGGTGCCAGCGTGTGTGGGCATCTGGCTCCCACCCCTCAGCCACTGACGTCACGCACATGTACCCAATGAGAGGATGCACGCCACTACCGGTGGATTTCAGGGACTGACCACAACGTTCCCCAAGGTCCTTCCTGAGTTCCCCTCCTGCCTGAACTTCCAGGAGGTGCCGAGGAGAAGATGCGACATCCCGAGAAGGTGGGAAACGCTAGGAGGTCTAGCAAATAGCACCGAGAAAAACTGCCAGAGGAGAGAGGAATGTGAAAGACCGACCCGACTCCGCAAGCCCGAAGGCTGTTTCTAGACACCCGTGCGAAGAGGCCACAGCATGTTTCCTCTGCTCTGACCACCAGGGCTTACCAGCCAGCACGCCACTCCGAACTGCGGGGCACAGAGCTCCCTGCCCTCTCTGAGCCTCGTGGCTGCGCCTGGGAAACACCACACAGCTGGCCTCCCAGCGCGGCCCTGGGGATGACACTGGGGATGACACTGGCTCACGCAGGCCAAGGGCTCGGTGAGTGTGCCTTTCCTTCTCTCTGGCCGATGGCTTTAGGCACAGTGGACAAGGCGCATTGCACATCAGGACGGGAAGGGTTGAGCGTTCTGGAAGTTGCCTTGGCCTCCCGCACCAGTGCCCCGCCGGCCGCTGCAGAAATGAGTTTCCCTTCCCCGAAGCGCACAATTCTCAGTGGGACTGCAGTCCATGCAATCATAACCCTCCACCCACTCGGGGACAGACAACATGTGGAAATTCTCTCTTCTGTCTGGGAGTGCTCTGAGCCAGGAAGCCACCACGCCAGCGGCGAGCTGCGCCTGACCGCAGCTCACCAGGAGAAGGCCTGGACTCCGCCTCTTCAGGGAAAGGAGCTACTGGCCCCAGTGCTGTCAGTCGGGTCTTTGACGGGAAAGCCAGTCCAGGTGAAGTGTTTTCAGGGTGCGAGCGGCCAACTCTGCTCCCCCAAAGTCTGTTTATCATCCACGTCTCCCACCTTGGCAGCTGGTGGTTCTGTCCTAACTTGTTGCTGGTTTCACACTGGTTGTGCAGGCCCAGAATCATCTTCGTGGCACCCATGGCCTCCCGCCAGGTGGCCCGCCAGCCCTCATTCCCAGCACCCCAGGGGGTCATGCTGGATGTCCGTCCCCTCACCCACATGCTAGTCCAGCTGTCATTCCGGTCAGACTCCCTTCCACCCACCAGACCGCTCTCAGCAGGTGAGACACCCCAGGGGTTAAGCGGAGTCCCGGGAGAATAGAGACCAGCTCAGTGCCCACCCTGGAGGCCTCAGAGAGCCCTCTCCCAGGCACCACCAACCCCGAATCTCGCAGTAGCTTTGGAAGTTGGGTAACATGGTTCTCATTTTACAGAGGAGAAAACTGAGACTCAGTGAAAGAAAGGGTTTGGGCCAAGGTCACAGAGATAATGGCTGGCTCCTCAAATTCCCAGACTAGCATGTCAGCCCTGTGCCTGACGCCTGCCTAGCACTGGTGGGGGCTGGAGATGGGGAAGATGTGGAAGGAAAACGGGGGTTGACCCAAGCTGCAGGTCCACCCTGGGGTGGAGGTATGGGGGGAGGAGAGCATGTCTAAATGGAAGGGACGGGCCGATGTTCATCAGGGAGGCGGGAATCGGAGGGAAAGCGCACTGCCGATGCAGCCCCCACTCCCAGGCAGACGGCTTCCCTCCGGGCCCAAGAGCCGCTGCACAACCCACCCCTTAGAGTTCTCCAGGGCGAGTAGACCTGGTGATGATCCTGGCCCTGCTCTTTCCTGACTGTGTGAGCTGGGGCAAGTGTCTAACCACCCGGGGCCTCAACACACACACACATCACACACCACAAGGTAAGACATGCAATGTCTTTGTGTCAACAGCTTCAGACACAAAGTTCTATCAGTGGTGACTGTCACCATGTCTGTGGGTGTCAGCATCCCTGGAGGGCCTCCTGAGCATGCTGGATGTCCCCATGTGCTCAGCTGGGCTGGCGGAGGGCCAGTGACCACGAGGGGATGAGGCCTTGGGAAGGAGGAGCCAGACTCACAGAACAAGCCTCAGCTCAGGGACCGGCAGTCCCCACCAACTCACCAGAACTCAGGAAGCCAAAGACGCCCACGCGGTAGCCAGCAGTAACCACGATGAGGTCGCCAACAGCAGCCAGGAAGGAGCCATCGAGGACCAGGCCCCCCTTGCCACCCCGACTCTCCACGGTGTTGTGGAAGAACACCAGTACAGATGCGTTGGGGGCCTGTATAAGTGGGGGAAGAAATATGGGAGCTAGACATTGGCCCACTTTCACCCACAGGAGCTTGGCGAGGGCTCCTTTTCCATGCGGGAGCCAGATTCTGAGCCTACACAGGCCTTTTGCCATCAACTCTGCCCTGTAGGCACAGCTGACCCCATGCTATGGGCTGAAATGTGTCCCCTGCAAATTCACACATTGAAACCCTAACCCCTAGGCCTCGGAATGTGCTGTATTTGGAGACGGGTCCTGTAAAGAGGTAATTAGCTCGTGCTTCCTGATCCAATACAATGGTGTCCTTATAAGAAGAGATTAGGACATAAATACACACACAGAGGAAAGACCACGTGGACACACAAGGAAGAGAAGGCCATCTACAAGCCAAGGAGCGCAGCTGCAGAAAAAATCAACACCTTGATCTTGAACTTCAGGCCTTTAAAATTATGAGAGAATAAATTTCTATTGTTTTAAGCCTCTATTTGTGGTACTGTGTTGGAGCAGCCCAGGCTAACAGACCCCACTGCACAGAGGAGGAAACTGAGGGTAACAAAGAGTGAAGACACTTGGCCCCCACTGCAAAGTGCACATGTGGCCGGAATAGCAGCTCACGGCAGATGCGCAGCCCGTGTCATGGAGCTGCTCAGCCATCCGGGGCCCCAGCTTTGGCCACTAGTTTATTCCAGAAGGAAGTTCTGGGTCCTTGGTGGTCCTTTCCATTTGGCCTCTCTGACTGGACCCCCATCCTGCTAGTGCAGAACTACCTTTGACTGAGCGCTGACCGGCAGCCAGGCACTGCACTAAGAACTCTACTCATTCAGTCCTCAACGGCTCTATGAGGTGGCATGTTCTTGGTTTTACAGACGAGGAAGTGGAGGCTTAGAGACATGGAGCAGCTGGTCTGAGACCGCACAGCACCCCGGAGGGAGCAGAGCTGGGCCTTGAGCCGAGGCCGACCTGTTATATTAGACTGCAGTGTTCCAACTGGAGGACCCAGCAACCCCACCCCAGGCCGGGGTGTGTGCAAGGCCCCGGTGTCTCATGCCATCCAGGTCCTGCCTCTTGCTGCTGTGACTTCCCCCCACTCCGCGGACCACAGGTTCTGACACACCAACAGCAAGCGCCGACCGAAGACTGGCTTGATGGCTGCTGTGCCCACCTACGATGTCTCCTTAGGGCCACCACCCCCACGGTAGGCACTCTGATGCCTAAAAGCGGCCCGTTCTGGAGGTGTGGGAAGAGCTCAAAGTGGTGAAGTCACTTCTGAAAGAACCTACGGAAGAGAAGGGGCTGACCCAGAACGCCGACTCTGGGCTCCCCTCCCGGCACACTCTCCTGGGTTCTTCCACCTCCTAGGTGTTGAGTCTTCACATATGATCGCTTTTTAATGCCCTAGAACAGGGCTGGCTGAACCGGCCCTGGTTCCACTTGCCGGGGGCTATCAGACAGGTCAGGGCTGGGCCCTGCACCCCTACTACGGTGCCCTGAGTTGTTTTCACTGTGCAGAGCATGGGCAAGAGGGAAGGCATTGCCGTTTGGACCACCGCAGCAAGAGCCAATGCAGCGAGGGCCAGGTGTGAGGTCAGGGTCAGCCCTCAGCCTCTGAGACCCTGTCAGCCAGAGGAAGAGTCCACGCTGCCGGCCGCTCCCCGGCAGGGTCTGTCCCTGTGGGGCCCATGCACTGCTGGAGCACTGCAGGCTATGGCAGCCACGCTCCTCCCGTCATGGCCAGGACGGGGTGACGGAGCAGCCAAGACAGGGATGGCAAAGCCCTCCCGGACTGGGGACCTCCCTGAGGAAGGGGCACTGGGTTTGGAGTCGGGAGGGGGATCAAGTCTCTGCGCAGCCCAGGCGCTATGTGTCCTGCGGGGAGCGTAACCTGAGCGGGGAAGAGGGAGCGGTGCTGGCGGCTGCGGGGTCGGGGGTTGCTGATGGGCAGTTTTCAGACAAACACAGCAAAGGCTTCGGGACTCACCGTGTTCTGAGGGACAAACACGTTGAGGTACAAGCAGTCCTCGCTGACTCCAGATGAGGTGGGTGCTCTGATTCCTGGCTGCCAGCAGCTGGCCCTGCAGGTACAGACTGTCTGACTTCCAGCGGAACCAACCAAAGAGACAGGCCCATGTCCCCTTGCAGCCCAACTCCAGTGGCCAGAGCCCGCCAGCTCTGCAACAGTTAGGCAATTATGTCCCCGAATCACCGCACGGAGCCGAGCACACCAGCCCCTCCATCACCACTCGGACTTCATGGGAGCAAGGTGATTCTAAGCCACTGACATTCGGGGGTTCATCTGTTAGAGCATGCAATGCCCCCTTAACCATTCACCTCCCTCCCATGCACCGCTCAGGTTAGAATGCACTGCTCTGCCTCTGGGAGATGGGGGATAGGAGTGGCAAGTAGACATCAGGGATAGCTGGGTGGCTGTCACCGTCCCTGCCGGGGACGGTGCCCTGCTGGGCAAGGGGCGGCAAGGGGCAAGGAGGAGACAGTGGCCTCGGAAAAGAGCTGTGCACACCTGTCGGAAGGGCAGATGCAGGGAGGAGGGGGAGAGAGGACGAGCAGCGCTCTTCACGAGCACTCTGACTACAGTTTACTTGGAAGAATCACAGAAATCTCTCTAGCACGTCAGCCACTGAAGTGGTATAGGTGGGGGAAAGAAAGGGGCAAAAGCGGAGAGTTGGTGAGGGAGGGAAACGGGATATGAGTGCTTTTTCCCCTTCTTTTTTGAAAGTTTCTTTCAATATTGTCCCTCTTGGGGAGAAGCGTCCTCTTTCAGTTTTTCTCACTGCCTACTTCTACATACACATTTCCTTCTCTGCTGTGTTTCTCAGCGCAGCTGAAGTCGGATGTGGCCAGGAGGTACACATGATGTGTGCACCCCACCTGCAGGCATGGCCCCTAGAAACCCCCCTGTGAACTCCCCCACAGCCTCTTTCCCCAGATGCAAGGCCAAGGGAGGTTTGTGCTGAAGAAGGCAGAGCCTCTATCAGCTGGGTGCCTGGACCCCTGAATGAAGCAGAACACCCTGACCCCTCCAACACCAGATGGACTCAACAGGAGCAAGATCATGCGAGGTCACTGATATGGGGTGTGGTCAGATGTGAGAGCACACAATGCCCCCTTAACTTGATACCCCATGCCCCATAAACCACTCACATGGCTCTGCCACCATGTCTGACTTTGCTGGATTAGAATGGTGGAAGAATTCACCAAGTATATTGCTCTCAACACTTACTGTGGCTGGGTGGCAGCCCAGGACCCTGTCCAGTTCAAGGGCTCTGGTGGCTTGAAGCGGCTTTTTGCCAGGGGTGGGGCAGCGTATGGCACTCCCAGGAACTGGTCCACTTGCTTCCACGAAGTGCCCACCTGGATGGCCTGGGACCTGCCCAGCAGCTGGCCGTGGGGGGCGATGGTCACAGAAGGTACAGATGCCCCAGAGCCGAGCAGAGAGATGTCTGTTGGGACAGGGAGTAGGTGAGGAGGAGGAGAGAGAGCAGTGGGTGCTCTGTTTACAAGGGATATTCTGAATATGCTTTAAGAAACAAACACTGCTCTTTGCCTTTTAAAAATATGGGTAATTCATTGAAACCCCCAAATTTTACATCGAGTGAGGTTAGTGCTCAATGTGAAGACACACATGATAGCAGAGAGAGCTGGTCTTTCCCAGGCACTGACGGGGCAGAGGGCAGCTCTAATTCCCTCTCTCCTGGCCATTGTCCGTCTCATCGGTCCTTCCCAGGAGACTGACCCAGGCCCGGGTCCCTTCCTCACTCAGCGCCTGGGGCCAGATGTGTGCGGAAATTCAGTTGTTAGGATCTTTCAAAGAACCGAAGGACACAGACACACAGTGTGCGTCTCCCATGAGGGGTCTCGCGGAAGACCCGTCATCAATCACAGGTATCGCTGTCGTAGGAGGAATGAATAGAGGCGACCGTTTCTTCAGTCACGAAGTCCAGGTCAGATTTTGGCACAGACTTAAAGAAAACTATTTTCTGACTTTCAGACTTTCAGAAGTCTAAAATCAGCAAAAGAACAGGGGCCACATGTGCATTTCACTGGAGAGAAAACAGGTGCAGGGACCTGGGGTGGGAGGCTGCCAGGCCTTCAAGCTGATGTGGGATTCAAGGCCAAGCCCTGCTGGACCCTGGCTCGGAACTTGCCCGGTTCACCCAGGGTCAAGAGCCTCTGTTAGGCCAAGGCTGCTGCCACCTGCCATCAGAGCTCTGCGCTCCAGGGCACCTTCCGCCCCTCCCTGCAATGCTGATCACCAGACACCAACCAGCCGCTCCGCTCCAAAGCCCTGGCTTATCTCCTCTACTAACTGTGCCTTCCAGACATTCAGTGATTCAATAAACAGCCAGATACCATTTTCAGGGACCTGAGACAGGCTTTGTCTGATTCCCCACAGGGCTTAGGGCCTCCCTTCCTGCCCAAAGGACAGAAGTACTGGGGAGGACATTCTCTCTCTCTCCCTCCCTACTCCTAGTGTGTGTGTGTCTGTGTGTGTGCGTGTGTGTGGTTTCTTACTATTTCCATCAGGTGCATTTGCTTTGCTCAGCTTCACCGTCTGTTGATTGAGAGGAAAAGCTTTGCTGTTCCCTCTGCAGCTGCTTCTGCTTGTAATACATGCATGATGACTACCAGGAGCCATACAGACAGGAGGCAGGAGGCAGACAGACAGACCAACCAGCCAAGTCTATCCATTTCTCAAAATCTGGGTATGATGCAGTGGTTCCACTGAAGGTGACTGTGCCTCAGGAGACATTGGACAATGTCTGGAGATAGTTCTGCTTGTCACAGGGATGAGGGAGAGGCTGCTGGTGTCTAGTAGGATAGAAGCCAAGGATGCTGCCGCACATGCTGCCATAGGTAAGGTTAGCCCCCCGTGGCAAAGGGTTCCCTGGGGCCCAGCTGTGAGTGGCCCTGGGGCTGAGAAACCCTGGTGGGCCAGGTGTCCATGACCTCCAGACCCCCTGAGGGTCAGCAGTGAGGAGGATCCAATGGGTGGTCTGGGGAGTTGAGCAGGCCTGTGTTTTATATTATGGACCATCACTTTGGAAAACTTTATAATTTTTTGGACCCTCCATTGTCCCACCTGCAAAACAGAAATAATAGCAGTCCCTACACCACCAAGATGTCAGGAATAGGTGACATCATGTGTGTAATGTCCCAAGCCCAGTGACTGGCAAAGGGCAACTCAACACATGCATGGATGGATGGATGGGTGGATGGGTGGATGGGTGGATGGATGGATGGATGGATGGATGGATGAAATGAGTGAATGAATGAAAAAGAGGGAGGGAAGAAAGAAAAGAGGGAAGGGAGGAAGCAGGGAAACTGAATGAAACCTTCTCTTTTGCAAAAACAGTGGAGTGTGAGTTGGAACTCGAAATGGAAACTCAGGATGGAAAGAAGTCGCTGCCGCTGTTTAATCTGGCCTCCATCACAAATCGTGACTGATCTCTCCCCCACAAGAGCGCCCTCTCACAAGACTCCCTGCTGCAAATGGAAATCACGGGGGCCCTGGCAGGCAGTCAAGGCTGTGAGCACTACAGCTGCAGGACTTTCCAAGGCCGGCCTGTTTGCTCTGCAGGAAACAGCCACATTTCATGAACGTGGCATCCTCTGAAGGGGAGCAAAGACAGAAAACTCAAAAGCAAAGAATTTCGAGGGAATGCAAGCTGGCTTTCCCACGGACAGTGGTATTCAGCCCTCCCTCACCGAGGCTGCCGGAGGAATCCCAGACGGAACGCAAGCCAGCGTGGGGAAAATTCGGGTGTGCTGTTCTCCCTTCTGAACGCTTCTGCAGAAATGGTGGATTCCTTCCAGAATATCCACGTATTTAGGCCATTCAGCTATTTCTTAACTGCTAGGTGAAGAGAACTACATGCAGCTCTCTAGGTGCCTTAGGTACTAGCAATGCCTCTGTGAATACACATGGGCAAGCATCTTCTGCTGCAGGTGAGCATGTCACATGAAATTTAAGTCACGTGCAATTAATAGGGAAAGGGTCTAACTTATTTTACAGACCTGACACCTCAAAGTCAAGGCATTTCTCAACAGGACTAACCCACAGATTGGCCACACTGTGGGTGAAATATGCAGCTGAAATCCAACTTGACTAAATAATAGAAATGTCCAGACAGAAGATGAGACTTGAGATCCAGGCCTGAGATCTCGGTATTCCCAGGCCTGGGGGAGGGGCATTCTCAAGGTCTGAGGTGGAGGAGGGGCAGAAGAGGACAATTATTGCTGCGTCAAGACAACCCTGAAGAACCATCCCTGTTCTAGGATGGGGTGGGACAAATCCAACTGCTACCTAGTTTTATAAATAAAGTTTTATCGGCACACAGCCACACCCGGGGATTTACGGACTATATTGTCTGTGGCTGCTTTCCTGGTACAAAGGCAGAGCTGAGTAGCTGTAACAGACGCAATAAATATCATGACTGTGGAGTGCTGACCTCTGCTTTTAAGGTAAGATGGCAGATACAGCCAGTATTTCTAAAAAGTTATTAATTTTACCCAAGAAGCATGTTTGGGCAGGGGCTCCCCAGGCCCCCAGCTCCCATGTGCCCTCTCACCCAGCCCTTAGCGACTTCCCCTGGTCATGGATTCGGTGTCTGCCCCCCCACCCCCGCCTGCTTCCTGCATCCCCAGGGCCTGACAACGCCCGACACGTAACGGCACCCCACTGGTTGCTTTCAAACTAAACCGAGCCAGGAGCCGCTGCCCTTCTGCAGGGACACCGATGTGGTCGTGAGGCAGCGTGGTCTCACGGGAGAGGACGGGACACCTGGCTGCAGCCCCTCTTCTGCCTCAACTCTCTGTGTGAAAGCAGAGAAGTAACTTAACTTCTCTGGGCCAGCACCTCCGGGTCTCTAAGACAAGATAGACACCCTTATCAGACTACTGCACAAGATCAGCGTGAAGATCAAACAACATAGGTCTGTGAGAACTTTCTAGACCACAAAACAGTAATAAAAAGTGGTCTGTGTAATTATTTTACTAAGAAACTCAAAGGCTAGAATGGCTTCCTTCTATAGCTAAAGGAATAAGTGAACAAAGATGGCGTGGAGAAGGTCTACACTGGACAGAGGGGGTCCCGCCTTCCCTCAGTCCATCCCGGTGACTGCCACTGAGCCCAGGATAACTCCGGCTGACTTTTCCTTAAGGACCTCAAAAGTCACTGCCCACAAGTCACCACATACTTGGACAGTCCTGTCAGCCATAGCCAGGCTCCCAGGAACGGCCCCAAAGGCACAGGCCTGGACTTACTCTGCTTCCGGTAGACGTAGGTGGCCTCTTCGCGGAGCAGAAGTTGGCAGTACTGGGCCTGCAAGCTGTGTGTGCAGATCTGGGCATCGGCGTAGAACATACACCTCAGAGCACCAGGTCGGGTCTGCAAAGTGGTGACCAGGCAGGCTTGGTGACGGGAACACTCTGAGGATTAGAGGGAGAAGAGTGAGGGCTGGGCCTCAGAGACGCTGTTTCGTCATCCGTTCATCCATCCATCCATCCATCCATCCACCCACCCGCCCACCCAGCCACCCAAACACACAATCCACCCACCATTCATTCAATGACTTATTCATTTGAGCACCTGGTATACATCCCAGACACTGCTGCAAGGGCTAGAAATGAAATGCTGGTGAAGGAGGACCCGACTCGCCCATCAGTCTGTTTTCCTTACAACAGCCAGCTCTTGAGTAGTTCGTTTATTCATAAAAGTGCTCTTGGTATTCACCTATTTAAGATACCCCACGGCCCCCCGCTGGTCACAGGGTTGAGTCACTCCAGATGAAGCCCCTGTACTCCAGCCTTCGCCTCCTTCTTCCACCTCACCTGCCTCCCCACTGGGCGAACATTTCTGCAGTGCTCCGCCAGGGCGATGTCATGTCCCGCATGTGCCAGCGCCCACACTAGATCATTTAAATTAGCCGTGGCACGTCAGCCCTCAGAACGGCTTTGGAAATGGTGCCGCCTCGCTCGTTTGGGCTGCTGTGCGCTGCCTAAAGGCCTTATTTCCACCCAGTCTCCATGCTGTGGCGCTACCCAGGGTTGTGCGGTGCACGACCGGGGCCTCCGTACCTGGTGTGTCTGTAAGACGTGCACAGTGTTACCGCCCTCACAGAGGAGGGGTTCCATGGGTAGAAGCACTGGGGGAGTGTGACCGTTACCTAATTTCCATCTCTTGTAGAAGCTGGTCTTTGTAGAACATTCCTACTGAGTGGTCACCTAGCCTTTACCTCTAAATGAAGTATGAATTTGTGGACAGCTTTGTCTATAGGAAGTTCTTTATATTGCACTGTGAACTGTCTAGAAATTTCAGTGTTAAGCATAGGTCTGGGCTTTGCCCCACGAGCTGGGCCAGAATGAGCCCATTTCTTCCTTGGCACAACGGCCCACCTGGCATCTCAGGACAGATGCTGCAGTTCACTCCCCACCTCCATCTCAGACCAGCCAGCCCCCTACAGCATTCCTCCGACCCTCCTCCGACCTGGTTCAAAGTCACTCGTTTTCTGTGTGGTGCGTCCCGGTGGAGACCATGACTGTGGCTGACTGTGGCTGACTGCAGGGGTATGAGGACACTGCAGAGGGGAGCGCACCCAGGGTCTCCCCCAGGTCAGTTCCTGTCCACCAGCACCCTGTGGTATCTTGGGGTCTCCTCTGTGTCCCCGAGGTCAGAATTCTGAGCTGCACTTGTATGAGGTCCCATCCCAGTCAACCCCAGGGTGGGCTTGGAGACTCCCCTTACCCAGCAAACAGAGGTCTCGGGCAGCAGAGAAGTCACTGATGGCAGCCGTGCTGATGTGGGCAACATCAAAGGTCCTCATGGACGGGTCAATGGCTACTGAAGAGAGGGCCAGGGTCTGCCACGAGTCCAGGGCAACTGGGGGAGAGCACAGGGCACAGCGGTCATACATTGTGGTCACCTGGTGCATGAAGATAGCAGAGTGCCACCTGATGTCCCCAGCGGGCAGCCCCAGGGCACCCTCACCCCAGTCTTTATTGTAGTGCAATACATTCCTTCATCTACCCCTCCCTTCTACAACCATCTGTTAAAAGTTTTTTATGGGCCAAGCTCTGTACCCCAGGTGAGGGATGCAAAGGTTGAAAAAACACAGAGCGAACAAGAGCATGGCTGTTTCTTTCAAGCAGGTCATGGTATAATGGGAGGAAGTCAAAAAGAAGACAAGCATCGTGCACTTGTTAGAATGCAGTGATCAGAACAGTGCCAGGAACAGCGATAACAACAGACGTATGTGTGCTTGCACCCGTGGTCAGGTCTTCACAGCACGATGTCGTGAAGCCCTCCCCCAGCCCACGGGGGAGGCACTCTCCACGTGGAAGCTGTGGTGTGCTGCCGGGGCCCCTCCAGGGCCGAGGCTTTCATCTCCCCAGCTGATGGGTAGTGGGTGGCTGCGGGCTCCTGGCTGAGTCCCTTCCCAGGAGTTGCCTTTGGTCTGGATGAGCTGCTGCCCCTCCCCAGGGTCAACCTGTGCCCGAAAACCAGTCCATGTGGGAACACAACGACCCGGGCTCTTGCCTCGAGATGGGGCAGCTGTGAAGGGCCAGCCCAGTGTCCCAGCTCACTGAGGCACCAATGGGGCCATGGCTTAGGTGGCATCACAGCTGGACTTGCCCCCTGCCCAATCTGCCCCTCGCTTCCTTGCAGCTGTGGCTCCTGAAGGCGCCACACCCGGGGCTCCCCGCCTGGCACATCTCCATCGCAGAGCCTGTTTCCCGGAAACCCTGGCCGAGATGGAGACCGTGGAGCACAGCGTGGTTCGAACAGCTGGCCAAGAGTGTGCCCTTCCCAAGGGCAGAGCCAGGCTGAAAGTAGGTCTTTGCCCTCCCCCTCCCCTCCGTGCTGCCTGCCACATCCTGTGTGCAGGTCGTGCTGTCACGGCAAGTGAGAAGGACACGTGGTGGAGCTGCCGGAGGAGGCTGGCAGGGCTCTGCCAGAGCACCTGGGTCCCTGCGGGGACAGAGCTGACCCTGGACAGGGGTTTCAGCTTCCACTGAGAGGAAGGGCTCGGCGGCTTGGTCAGTGGGCACATCATTCTGTCTACAAACAGCATTCAAGAGGCAAAGTGCTGCCTCCAACACAGGCGCTTGTTCGGGAGCACTAACCCGAAAACCTCCCAGGGAGCTGTTCAGTGGGCGCGCCACGGAGAATTAATGGCAGACATCTTTCTGTCTACTGACTATCGGTTTTGTCTTAGACTTTTTTCAGAAGCTCACAGTACTTTGCCCTACAATATATATTTGCAAGCTTTTACCCTGTGCTAGCTGAGCTCTGAGGTGACCTAGGGACAGCGCTTTGTGGTTTACAAAGCCCTCTGGGGTGTAAGCCTCACACCCGATCCCCGAAATGTCCCGAGGGAGGGGTGGGGCAGAGACACCAGTGCCCCCTTCACAAACGAGGGGCCGGAGCTTGCTGAACTTATGTGACTTTCTAAGAAGAAAGAACTGGGCAGTGACCGAGCCAGAGAAAAGCTAGACCCCCCTGGCTCTAAGCTGTCCCCTCCATAGCTGAACATCCTTTCCAGAAAGTCATCTCCAGGTTAAAAATAAAAATAAAGGCCATTGTTTTTAATAGCACCACACTGTGAGGGAGAGCCTGCCACTTTTTTAATCAAACCTGCTTTTGACACCAAGCGCTGGGGGCCACCAGAAGCAGGATGGTAATAAAGAACCAAGACAATCTTAACATCATAACCCTTTCTTGTTCTTTTTAAAAATAAAAACAGAAAAAGAGGAGTCACCAAAATATACCACCAGACTCCACCTGGACTCGTCAAGAAGGAGGCAGACCCCATACTGGTCCTGGAGCCAGGGACCAACTTCAGCACCAGGAACTCCACCTTTCTGGACTTGGGACCCTTTTCCCTGCCACAGACTCTACACTTTCATCTTCTTAAGTGTTTTCCGCGTGCTGCTGTCCTCACGGTCAGCACACCTGGCGTTTTTGCAACATGACCGAACCGAGCGGCACATTTTTAGATGACAAGCGCACCAGTTTCAGAGAAGAGTTATGACGGGGCCTCAGGACCCAACCTGCCAATTAAGGCCTTAAAATGGAAGCCCCACCGCACTATCACTTTGACAGACGTCTTGGGGAAAGCGCTGTAATTGAAGGATGAGTTTCATCCGCAACGTTGAGAGCCAGCTCAGCCGTCGCCATCCTGGGGCCTGGAGCTGAGTGTCTGCCACGCCCGCCACCTGTCCCCATCCTCCCACCAGCAGGGGCCCCCAGGATGAGAGATGGCTGTCACGCAGAATCCAACATCTGGGGTTCACACATCTCACAAACATGCCAAGGCATGGGAAGCATGAAAGCAAGGCATCGGCGGAGCATTTTGTGAGTTTGCCAAGAACCCGGCAACGCTACTGCCTCGAATCTTCACTGTAACCCAGGCTGCGGCACCGCAACTCTGTGCGTGTTATAGACCGGGAAACAGACCCAGTAACACTCTCAAAGGCCTTTGTTGATATGGGGGCATGCCAGGCTCCCGTGAGTTCACATCCTTCAAGTTCAAAAGCCAGGGTTTACTACAACGTAAGATCTCTCCCGAGAATCAGGCAGTGAGCTTTCGGGCGCACCCGAGGAATGCATCTGCTCTAGAGCAACACCTGTGGTTTGTTGATTCGCTTTAATTTTTTCTTGTGTTTAAAATATATTTTATAAATTGCAATGGTAGCATCACTTAATTTTTTTTAAAATCTCCTCTTGAATTGGAAATGCCATATTTAGCATACATGAAGTACCGCTAAGCAAGCGACTTCTGCTAGGCAGCTGCTTTTTCACTCATTTTGTTAATCCTGGTTCTACGCACACACTGCTGAAGCTCCAGTCACTCTGTGATACAGTTTATCATCCAGTGGTAAAAGTCTTCCCATACTGTTTTTCTTCTAGAAATGTTTCTTGGTTACTTTTGGCTATATAGTCATCAGATGAAATTTAGACCATTTTGTCAAGTTTCAAGAATGCTCCTTGGGGACATGAATTAGAAAAATGGGTTTCAGAAAAGATTTAAAACTCTGTTTAATTTTTGATGTCATTATGAATGAAATAAGGTTTTTTCATTATAAATATTTTTAAATGGTTATTATGGACCTAAAGGAAAGCTGTTTCTGGATGTGTATTTCTTTTCTAACAGGACACTGAGTTGCAATTTAGCCTCTTTTCTCTGTGGCTACTTTGAAGACGGGCTCCAGCTGGATCCCAGATTTAGCAATGACACGCCATCAGACCCTGTAACTAGTGGTGGCTCTGAGCATCGTTAATAGGATGGACTCTGATGGAGCAGCTGGGCTACTTGAGTTCTGTCCCAGCTCCTCCCCTTAACAGCACGGTGACTTTGGACAAAACAGTCCTCTTCTCTGAGCCTCAGTTTCCTCGTCTATAAAATGAGGACAGTACGAGATGCTCTCTCCTCGAATGGAGATCAGGAATTGGTGAGTTAGTACTACAGGGGGCGGGGGGCCTTAGGAAACACAGGCGCTTTCCTAGCCTCTGGGCCAAGCTGCTTCCGAGTCACTGTCTTTTCAAAACTGTGGAGGTCTGAGCCTGACTTACGTACCAGGGGGCGTCCTCTAAGGGGTACAGGAGCCCCAACCATGGCTGCAATACCATAGCTCTCTTCCTGATTTCTGCCAGATTGCTGTGTCCCTTGCCACACCCTCCCCTCCAGCCTGGTCTCAGGGCACCTGCTTCCTGCCTATCAGCACCTCACCCTCCACCCTCTGGCCCTGTGGCTCCTCAGCCATTAGCACCGCAGCACCAAGAGCATGCACGCCTGCCTGGCCACTGCGTCTCCGTCCCCGCAGGAGACCTGCTGCTGGAAACAGCAACGTTTGTAAATGGTCCCTCAAGTTTCTGCGAGCGTCCACCCACATGGACCCGTCCCTGCCCGCAACCCCATCCTGTTCTTCACCCCCACACCGCAATGCTTCCTCCTCGGGGGATGCGTTCAGCATGCACCCCGCTGTCCCACCCAGAAATCCTGTCATCCTCATTGCCGTCTCTCTCCCCGGGAGCTGTCCTTTCTTCTCTGTTGAGATTCTGGCCTCACCCATGTCACTGAAGTTACAGGCACTCCGGTTCCTGAGACCCAGCCGTGCATCCCTGTCACCAGCCTTACCTGCTCTCACGTCATTGCCATACTTCATTTGGGGCCACCTTCCAATCTGCTCACCCCAATCACTGCTCAGCACCCTCAGGGTAACAGGCTGAGTCCTCAGAGTCTCCAGCTCCACCACCCCTCCCACTTGTGGTGCACCCCAAGCATGCCATACAGTCAGATACCACCGTTCTACAAAAGTTGAACTGTTGACTCACAGCAACTGTCCTCCCAGCAGGAGCATGGGCGGAAAGGTGACAGAATAGTCCCCGTGGTCACAGGGCAGAAACTGGGATCAGAATCCACTCTGTACCCAGCAGCCTAGGACTCCTCCTTCCCAGCAGCCAGAGCACACCCTCTCGGCCCCTGCCCCAGGCCCTGCCCCAGGCCCTGCCCCAGGCCCTGCCCCAGGCCCTGCATGGTGGTGCTAAGGAATCTTGGCAACAACCTAAGTATGAAACACACCTTGGAGAACATGCCCTTAGAGGTAAAAAGCCTTGCGGGCTCATTAGCAGAGAGGTGATGCTGACCCTGAGGGGCACAGAGAGTGCCACACAGCCCCTTCCCTCGATGACAGGACACACTGGCAAGGGTGCTACCACCTAGTGAGTAGGCACCAGTGCTTGATCGTTCCGGACGATCTGATCCCACCTCACAGTGCCCCGCCGAGATGAACAACGGCAGCCCCACGCTGCAGAGAAGAGCCCGCGGAAGGCCAAGACCGTGGGGGCAGAGTCGGCACTTGTACCGGGGCCGCCCCATG